TCTTGCCCTAATAATCAACTCCCCTCTCCAGTACCAAGGGAAAGACCAGGAATTCCAGATTCACCTTCCCCATCACTTGGAGTAAACACCATTCCCATATGACAACACTTATGGTGTCTGTGACCTCAACTATATGGATACTCCTTTCCACTGTTACCTAGGTAACAAACCTTACAAGCTTTCCCATTTTGTGTAATGGTCATCACACCTTTCTGTAAATCCTTCAAAGATGTTTCATTCAACATGCTCTTCCTTGAGTTGTTCCACTAGTCTTGTAAGCTTAGCATATTGCTGGTTTTGGCCTATCTCTATGACTTCATTAAGTGTAGGGAATTCCCGAAGAGTCAACTCTTTACTCCAAGGTAGTTGTTCAGTCATTTTGGTTCCACCTGACTCTTCATGAAAACCTCATTTGGAGTTTTCTTGGCAAAGACACTGGCTTGCTATTTTCTGCTCCAGCTCATTTTATAGATGAAGAAATGGAGAAAACAGGAATTGTGTTGGAGGCAGGATTGGAACTCAGGAAGATGAGTTTTCTAGACTCCAGGCCCAGTGCTCTAACCACTCACCACCTAGCTACTCCAAGGTAGACCTCCAATTATTTTGCAATTAATTGTCTTTCAGAGTTCCCTGGAGGCACAGAAAGTTGAGTGACTTGCTTTTAGGTCATAAACCCAGTAGGACTTAAAAAGTTAAGCCTTCCTCTCTCTAGAGATCCAATCCTTATCAAGTAGACTCTCTTTGCACATAGTAGGTACTTAGTACTTATTGAACTGAATAAGATGGAGGTACCCCAAAACACAAGCTCTGGGAAGACCTACCAGGCTAGGCAGCTTTGGGTACAGCTCTGAGCTGGGCTGTGTCTACTATCTGAGGATTTGCTTAGCTAAGAATGAAGCTTATCACTCACTAAAGGGTTATCCACTTGGGGAAGAGGCCGAATAAGAGTGATAAATTGACAATAAGTATCTAATAATGATAATGATAACCATGTTCATTCCTTTGTTCCCCCTGCCTAGAATGCCCTTCTCCTTTCCCCTAGACCTAAGTCTCAGTTCTTCAAGGCCCCATTTTTCAATAGTTATTAAGTATCTAGTACATACAGAAACTTCTGCTTAGTGCTAGGGACTGGGTCCTTGTCCCCAGTCACATTCTAGTAGAGAGATGATAGCCATAGTTACTTATACATAATAAAACATGAAAAAGGGATGAGGTTGACAAATGAGTAGTAGTTAGGGTTGGTCCTGGTGGACTGGTCATTACTGCCTGGGCTGATCAGGGAAGGCTTTCTGGAAGAGGTTATATTTAATCTGGGCTTTAAAGAGTGGGCATCAAAGGATGGATATGAGGGTTATGGTATTCCACAAGCAGGAAAGAGCCGACAAAGGTACAGAGGTAGAAGAATATAAACCACGTGCAGAGATCAAGCAGTAAGTTTGGCTGAGGCATCAAGGGTAGCGGGAATAGCATGGAATAAGCCCGAAAAGATAGAGGTGGTTGTGGAAGAACTTGAAAACCAGCCCATGAGATCCTTTGCTCCTGTGGGTTCCTACAGTCTTGAACTCATTCAGAGAGTACTGAAGCAAGCTGATCCAATACAACCCAGAGCCCTAAAGAATCTCTTTGAAAGGAAAAGAAATTGATAGGTATTCCAGCAAAAATGGGTGTGTGGCACCCCAAGACTGGGAACAACCAACACATAGTTTCATCTTAAATTTTTGCTTAACTCATAAAACAACTAGCCTCCTCCCATCAATGCCACCTTCTTTAGGAAGCCTTCCCTGGTAACTCCCTCTCTTGGTAACAACCATCCCATTCAGCTTTTGTGTAGTACTTTGCTCTACACCTCTCTAATTCACTTATGTGACATTGTGTGCTTGTAGTTATCCATCAGTCACTAAACATGCATTAAGCACCTACTAGGGCCAGGCACTGTGCCAAATGCTTCATTTTGTCCCCTTACGAGACTATAGTTTTACTGTAACTTTCTCACCCATTAAGTGGTAATGAGCTTTGAACATAGCTGGTGCTTAATGTTTGTTGAATTTTAAACTCAAAAGCCTTGAACATCCCCTTCTCAATTATTACATTCCCTTAATCTTCCTTCCCTTATTCTAAAAACAAGCATCTCCAACCCCAGGAGGTGGGCGATACTTATTTGAATCTAGAGAGGGGAGGGAGGGAACGTCCTATCTTCTTCCTTTGCTGGTCTAATAGGATTCTCCTATGACAAATGCAAGAACATTGGAGTTGGAGACAGAGAATCTGGTTTTGAATACCAGCTGTGCCACTTATTACCTGTCTGCAAGTCACTTTGTGAGTCTAAGTTTCTTTCTCCATAAAATGAGGGCATTTGACTAGATAATTAAGTAGCATTTAAATGTGAGGCAACTTGGCACAGCGGATAGACTGCTGGGCTCGACATCAGGAAGTTCCTGATGTGTACTAGCTGTGTGACCAGGGGCCAAGTCATTTAACCTCAGGCCCTAGGTCACTCTAAGACTGACCTGCAGTGGTAGTTTCTCTACCTGACGATTCTCTACAAAGACGTAATCACAGGCCCAGGCAGATACATGTAATTTGTAAAGCACTTTACATTTCATCTCATGAAGATAAGAGCATTGACTTTGGAGTTGGGAAAGACCTAAGTCTAAATCCCACCTTTAACACTGTGTTAACATGGTAGCCAGGGAGAAAGTTGGTGGAGATAAAGCAGTGAAGCAAAGCATGACCTGGGCTTTTTAGATGGAAGTGTAAAGAAACTGCCTTCCTTCTGGTGAAGGCAGTGGAGCTGCTGTGGAAAAAGTGGCATTTACCAATGTTTGTATCTGGCACACAGTAGGAGGTAAATGTTTGTTGATTAATCACACCATCCTCTGAAATTTAGTTTTCACTCTAGTTAAAAGATAACTGGTTAGGGGCAGCTAGGGGTGCAGTGGATAGAGCACCAGCCCTGAAGTCAGGAGGACCTGAGTTCAAATTCGGCCTCAGACCAAACACTTGACACTTACTAGCTGTGTGACCCTGGGCAAGTCACTTAACCCCAATTGCCTAAAAATAAAAATTAACATCCCCCCCCAAAAAAAGGGATAACTGGTTAGATGGAAGATTTTCCTTCAGTGATACCCATCTATAACAGGTTTTCTTGGTATGATATATATAGATAGTGGGGAAAAAAACCCTATGATTTGATCAGACTTGGGTCATCTGGCTCTGCCCCCTTGGATAAAATCAACTCCTGGCTCTACTATTTGGGTAGTCATTTACCTTCTCTGGGCCTTAGTCTTTCTTATCTCCGAATGGGCAGGATGTTTCCTCTACCAATTTCACTGAGATACTGTGAGATAACTGCTTTGTCAATCCATTAAGTGCTGCAGTCACCAGATAAACTCCCTCACAGAGGCTCAAACACAAACTTGTTTGTCATCTTTAACTCTTTCTTCACCATCTAAGCTGCCACCTGGCTCCAATCTGCTTTTCCAAGAACACATTTCTTCCTTACCACTGCCTCTCAGGAGCCCTACTTTCCCTCACGGTCCAGTCCAATAATTCTTACAACTGCCTTCCTAACCCCAATTATCTTTTAATTGGCATGTGTTTTGAATATACTCACATGAGTACACTTCAAAAGATGATGAATTTTCTGAGGTCAGAAACAGTTTCCTGTGCAGTGCCGGGCACCCAGTGCTTGCTCAATAAATAGCTGGATTAAAAGGGACAGATTTCCCCTGGAAACATCTGAGCTGAAGTGGGTATAATTTTGCTCAGAGACAAGAGCTAGACGAGATGATCTCTGATGGTCAGAGATGAAGGAGTTAGGAACCCAGGGCACACTACCAGAGGGGTCATAGTATTGGCTTTGCATTAAAGTTGCCAGCCCATCTCATAAAAGGCCAGTGCACCCATCTATTTAACTGCTGGAGGCCATCCAAAAAAGAGGAAGGTTGGGGAGAAGGAGTCAGTGTCATGCAAGTGTCAGGGTGATAGAACTCACATGTCAAGCTTTTGACAAAGAGACAGGGGTCAAGCTTAAAGTTACAACTTGTTTAATGCCAGTTACATTGCTTTACATGAAAAACTTACTGTTCTCTCAATATATACTTTCCACCTTTTGATGCAATATGTGGGACAAGCCTCCCACTCTGTGGACTGGCCTGTAATAAATTCTGGGGGAAGAATTCCCCACTCTTCCCCAAACCACCTCAAAACTGTACAACTTAGTAATGTCACAGATCATACATGGAAAATACAATATTTCACTTTTTTGTTGTCTCATTTACAAGTTGAATTCAGCAGACGCTGGACAGCCAATTGTTTCGCACGATCAATGACACAAGATTCTATGCACAGATCTAGGCATGCATACAGCTCCCCCTCCCGCCCCCGAACACACACATGTAACCAGTGAGATACCTTTTCTGAGGGCAGTTCCCTGAACTTGTTGAATTCCTTTGGCAACTGCACAGGGCAGGGGATGGGGACAAGGTGGGAGTTGGTTTTATCAATGAAAAACAGAACAAAAACAAGAACTAAAAAATATATATATGTACACACGTACACACACACACACACACACACACACACACACACACACACACACACACACACACACACACACACACACACACACACACACACACACACACACACATATATACACACATATTTCTTCTCCCAGCAAAGTCTCTTTGGTGCCCCTGGGCAGTCAGATAAACTTCCCTAAGGATTCTTGACTATGAATGACAACTGGGCCTACAATAGAACTCACAGGCTTCAATGGCCTTTTTTCCCAGGGCTGTGAGGCTTGGGTGAGGGATTAATTCCACTGGGAAGATGCTCTTTCTGCCTCTAGTTAGGTGAGGGATGAAATTCGGTTTCTCAGCTGTCCAGTTTAATCACGTTTGATTTTAAGAACAAAAATTTTAAGAGGCATGAAAATAATGTGCACACTCATCGGCCATTAAAAAAAGCAACAAGCTGGTAAACTCTGGAGACTTGGCTGGTTATTCCCCTTTACTATCCTCCTCATGCTTTTCTGAGGCTGAGTTTTATGAAAATCATGAGCTGATTTTCAACACATGAAACAAACAAAAAAAACCCCCACCACAAACAAATACATACACGCACGCGCACACACACACACACACACACACACACACAGACATATGGGAGCGCTCAAGGAAAATCACAGAGCAAAGGAAACATTATTTCAAAAAGCAGAGTTTTCCAATAAATCCAAATAAAATTCTCACCTATGCTTTGAATATTCTCTTTTTAGCTTAGAAAAAACTACAGTGTAGACCTAAGAGAAAGGTGAGGCCTGGTTGGGCATTTCAACTGTAACCTAAGGCATCAGGGATTGACTTTCAAGTTAGGAAGCCAAGAAAACCTTGGCTTGTTGGCAAGACCCCTCTTTTTCTCTGCCTCAGTCTTGTCTCCTACCAGCTCACTGCTCTACTTCATAATGTTTACAGTTGCCCTGTCACAATCTTTCCAATGGCACGGCTGGGTAGTGGAGCATGTGGACCCCCCAAAGGAATGGGTGGCTTTCTTGTTTCATCTTTTTCAACCTGGGGTTTTCAAAGTACCCTGCAATTCAGGGCAGGTATGGGGATGTTCCTCACACATACACATACGTGACCAGCACGAAAGGCATTGAGTCTTTCCTGGAACTTCAATCAGTTGCCTTTCCCCAACATCTCACCACCCAGGCTCAGTGCTCTTTCCTACTCCAAGACCAGGCCCTCACTGGCTTAAACCTCTGAGGTAGGAACTGCTGTGACAGGCTGCTAATTTCTACATGAGTCACAGAAGCCTAGGCCATGTCATTCCAGCTTAAAAGGTAGATATGCGAGGGCACGGAAGGGGAAGGCAAAAGACTGAAAGGCTCAAATGGTAGTTTGGCTTCAACAGCTCTTATAGGCTACAATAGGCACACCTAGGTTGGCCAAAGAACTGTCAAAAGGGTCAAGGGTGGAGGAAGAGCCAGGCACTGGGTTTCAAGGATCTTCTTGCCTAAAGCTCTAAGGAACACACATTAACTACAATTTGTCAGGTCCAAATTGTCCAATTCTTTCTTAAGGAGACTGCTCTTCAATGGGGTTATTATGCAGGAGTTATTAATCCCTGACTGACCTCTTTACTCAGAACTCACACGTTCCACATGGTTGGGTAGAATACTACTGAAAGGAAAAAGCAAAACGAGGAAAACAAAGAGACAGAACAGACTGACATCCAGTTACAGTGGGGAAAGGGAACAGGGATGAAGGCAAAATGTACAGTAGGATTGAGGATTAGCACAGAGATAGGAGTAAAGGACTGCAGGGAGCGGAAGCAATGTTTTCTTTAAGCAAAAAGCCACAGAAACTGCCCTTCCAAGGTTCCCTACACTGTACCACTCAAAGCACAAAGAACCCCACTTGTCCAGTAGGAAACAAAAGAATTAAGATTTCACTCTGAAAAGCTTTGATCTAATAAAGATAAAAAAAAAAGCTGGTGTCCAGATTCATAAACACATGATGCCCCTTTCTTTTTCCATTCAAAAGAATGACAATTTGAAATAACTTGTTTTCTTTGATAGCAAATCCAACCCAATATCACCTCATCCTTAAAAAAAAACCAAAAAACAAACCAAAAAACAAAACCAACCAACCCCCCACCCTTTTTTATGACCCACGTGGTGCTATGACCTACGTGGCAGTAGACAGGGTAGCCCAAACATTCCTTGGTACTGCTAGAACTTTCACACACTGGTCATTTCTTCCCATAAGGCTAAGACAGAGAGATGAGGTTTGAATGGGTCACATTCTCAATGATATTGTTTCCTTAAAAAGCCATTTTAATTGAGCTGCAATGAAATCCTTTTTTCTGCTGTCTCCAGGGAGGCCTTCGTGGTTGTTAAACCCTGAACCATTTAAGTGCTGGATGTCACCATTCTGTGTTAAGCTGGGGGGTTCAATCTGCCAGTATAAGCTGTCCCACCTGCACAAATCATCACACTGAAGTACAGTAGAGCTGTTTGGCCTTACAGTTAAGAGTGTGTGGCATGCACTGGAGAACACATAGTACGGCATTTCACTCTCTTTCTGGATGGTCACTCCTAGCTTTGGCACCTTCTGGGGGCTGGAAATCCGAAATCCCAGCTGTGAATCCCTTGAAAGGTCACTGTTTCTTAACTCCCATCCCATTATACATGAGAAAGTTTGGCTCCAAAGGGCCTTGGCTTCTAAAGCAGCCCATTTAAACAGAGGGGTATGGAGCTGCCATGACTTTAAGGTCACATGCAGCCTGACGTTTCCCCTGACCCCCAGTCCCCATTTCCCCCAGACTACACCAATGACAAAAAAGGAAGTTCATTCGTCCCTTCCCAGAGATGATGGAGCCGAAGAGGTAACCTTGTTCTCAAGCTGAGCTGGTCCTGGCCACACCAATTCTGTCTGGTGTGTGAAATGGAGATGCTGCCCATTTTGGTTCTCTTCTGTTTGCCCTTCGTGAAGAATGGGCTCCTCCTCAAATCTGAGTAGTTCTCCCCAGTCTTGTCCCCTTCCCAAATACTGTTCAACAGAGTTCACAATCAGGTATTTAATAAGAATCTTGAAGGTTTCTCCAGGTCCACCTACCCGCCCTACCCCGTTTATCTTCCAGATGATAACTGGGGTTCCATGCATGTTGATTAGTGGTTTTTCCCTATACAACGTAGTGTGGTCCTGGTGTGTGGGCTTGGGGAGTTACCGGATTCTAGTAAAGAGATTTAGGACAGATACAGATTCCTGAAAATAAAGAGGAGAAAAGAATGTTGAACAAGAAACAACTGGCATCTATTAAGCATCAATGAAACACATTTGGGTTTAAGGTAAGCAGGAACTTGCAGACAACTGGAGTTGTCCAACAATGAAAGGAACTGCTTTAAATAGCAGTCCAAGGTCTTCAAGCAGAAATTAGATTGAGATTCCTATACTGAGGAAAGGGGGTTGAGGATGAGAGAAGAAGAATATAAGAAAGAGATCAGATGACCTCTTAAGTCCTCTCCAGTGCAGGGATTCAAGGATTTTATATACAGTGGTTGCTACTTTTCTAGGCAGTTTCGTATTCACAAATAAATGATTTCCTTTAGACCTTACGATCCTATGTACATCTGAACAGTGCTTTCCAGTCTGTATGGTCTGAAACACTCATTATATCTCACATCACTTCCAGGAAAGCAGCAAAGCAGGTATATTTTGTCATTATTTCACAAATAAGGAAATAAAGCCTCTGGAGAGGTGAAGTGATTTACAGTTATTAAATCCAAGGTCACCCAGCTAGTTAGTGATAGATCTGGAACTGAATTCAAGAATGCTAAGCGGTAGATAGGACTTTAGAGGTTACTTAGACCATTCAATTAATATCTAGGTCTCTTAATTCAATCTCTTTCCATACCAGACCTTACCCTTCTTAATTCCAGATAGCAACCCTTTCTTAATTTTTTACTTTCCCAGACAGTAACTCAGTAACTTTATAGCAGAGGAACCAATTTATTCAACTGTAACCATAACTTTTTCATTAGAAAAGATTTTAGGCGGGGGAAAAGTGTAAAAAAGTAGAATGCTAGAACCTCAAAGTTGGAAAGGACCTCATGAAACCATGTGATTCACCAGGTGAATGTATAAGGGATTAGCTAGAGCAAAGGGGATAATTTTGAAGGACAGGTACCCTTATTAATCCAATCAACCACTAGGGAAAAAAAATAAAGCAGTAGGATAGAAGAGCGAGCACTGGACCTGAAATCAAAAGACCTGAATATGAATTCCATCTCTACCACTTAATAGTTTTGTGACCTAGGGCAAGTCAACTCAGGATATGCCTCAGTTTGTTCTTTTATAAAATGAAGGTTGGATCAGATGAACTCTAGACTTCTTTCAAGCTAACAATCTATTCCTCTATGAATGGCAGCCACACTGATTCTAGTGTGACAGGCAGAGATCAGCAGCCTAAAATCTAGGGCTTAAGGGTAAAAAGACTGACATTCTTAACTACAGGGACAAAACTTATAGGATAAAGAAGGGGTAGAGTTTCCTTACTATTTCCCAGTGGTCTGCCCTTGAGGTTCCACCTTCCCAAAACCACTCAAAGCACTTGAGAGCCGAAAAAAAATCAGTTCTCCAGCAAAGTTGCTAACAAAATGGACAAAGACTAAAAGCTCTCACTTCCAGTTCATATGAGTCAGAGAGAATTGTGCTGTGATCTACACAGTGTGCAATGTTTGCATTTCTGCCACATCAAGCTCTAAGTGTAGGCTGCTCTCCACCAAGAAGAAAGGTAAAGGAGCTTGAGGACACTGCGCTCCACTGCCCAGCCTTGCAAGAAGAATGAAGAGTTCCTTTAAAAAACGAAAGGGCTTCAATGTGAAAATAAAGAAGTAGATCCTGACTTACATGAGGAAGTGGGAGGGTAGAAGAATGTTACAGAAAGAAAGGGACGCACGAAAGCCTAACATTTGGAATCAAGAAACAGGTACAAGATTTTTCAGAAAGAACAAGGAGCTTGGAAGAAGCAGTTAACCTGTCATCCAATGAATAACGTGTATCTGTAGGTGCTATCAGGTGAAAAATCATCCAGTAACAGTAAGAAGTAGAAAAAAGCAATGGGGTAAAGGTGGCATTTTGCTAAAGGATAAACTCAAGCAGGCATCTGTTGACCTGGATAACAATAGATCTACTTTTGGGGAAAGTATATATCCAAGACTTGACAGAGAAAGTCCTAAGAATTATCAAACTAGAGGACTATGATCCTCTTCTGGTGATTCTCATGGGAAGAAGTAACACTGCTAGGAGAAACTAAAAAGTACTGTTAATGATTATAAAGCCTTGGACAATAAAATGAAGACCTTCAGGGTACAAGTGAAGTTTTCATCACTGCTGTCCATTGAAGACAAGGAATTCAAAAGAGAAAGATATATTTAGAAGGTGAAGAGCTAGCAAAGAAAATGGTGCCCGGGAATGGGATTTGTTTTTCTGGACCATATCTTAAAGTATAGTCAAGAGAGGCTTGTGGCCAGGATAGAGATACCTGTAAGTTCACAGAAGACAAAATTCAAGTGAGGAGCCAGCAATGAAAGTCATAGCTTCAGCTGTCTATAAACAAATGCACCAAGTATGGATAAGAAACAAGATGAAGTAGCGATCCAGCTGTGAGGAGGAAAATTTTATGTGAAAATTACTGGTAAGATCTGATTGAACATTGAGATCCAGGATTATGGTAGGACATGATTAAAAAAAAAAAGATAGGTAAAGAGGTGTGTGTGCTTAAGAGGAATAGCACTATTAGACATTAAGAAGATATACTCATGGCGTAGCTAGGTAGTGCAGTAGATAAAGCATTGGCCCTGGAGTCAGGAGGACCCGAGTTCAAATGCAGTCTCAGATCAGACACCTGACACTTACTAGCTGTGTGACGCTGGGGTGACAACCCCAACTGCCTCGCAAAAAACCAAACCAAACCAAACCGAACCAACCTCCCCCCCCGCGCAAAAAAAAGGAAGATATACTCACATGAGGAAACTGAGGAATCAGAATGGGGAAGCATGGTAGAAAACATCTGGGTGAAGATGAAGGCAAACAGAAACAGAAGCAACACTCTCAATGGAGAACACTATAGACAACCCAGACAGGAGGAAGAAATATAAATGAGGAGTTTGGGAAATGGATTACAAGTCTGTCAGAGGCATGATGTCATAGTGTTGGAGGGTTTAAATTATCTAGACATCTGCTAAGTTCTTAACAAAAACAGAGAGGTAATTTCTTGACTTGTCTTATTGCTAATTTCATCCTTCAAAAGGTAGACGAAGAAACAAGGGGAAATTCGATTCTGAATCAGGGAAGAACTAGTTGCCGAGGTAAGAAATGATGGGAACCTTGGGAGGCAGTGATCATCCCATCTTGGAGTCTGAGAGGTATAATCCCAAGGACTAAAAAGCAGGGAAAAATCAGCTCAGGAAAGATGTGAAGCTCTCAAGAATGAAATTTTGAAGACAGAAAGAAACAATGATGAAGAAAAAGTTTAAGTTGAAAAGAAACAAAAATGTAACCACAGATAATTCACCCTCAACTTAGATTTTAGAAGAATATGTACAGAAGATAGAGGCAAGAGCAGATAAAAGACGATGAATATAAAAACCACAGCATGGTAATGTAAGAATGATGTCAGGAGTGTTAAAGGTAGGAATAGGCTGAAGTTCTCAAGAAAACTAAGAAAAGTAGAGAAAAGAGAAGCAGCAAGAATGAGATAGCATTACTCCTTGGAGAAGACTGGGTGATAAAGGATGACAACAGATAAAATTTCTCAGTGTTTATTTTGCTTTATTTTATTTAATGAACTTCGCTGGAAAGTATTAAACAACAATAGCTAACAGAGAATTAGTACTCAGATAACTAAGGAGCCTAGGTAAGAGAGCACCAAGCTGACCTTGGTGAATGTAAGCCGACAGGTCCAGAGGAACCGCCTCCTTAGATCCTGAAAGAATTGGAAGATGTGACTGATGATATTACTGTCAGTAACCTCTGAAAGACTATGCAAGACTGGGAGAGGTACCTAAAATGTTAGAGAAGAGCACATGTTCTGATTTTCAAAAAAGAAAAGAAAATGGTCTTGAAACAAGGAAGACCTCCTTTCAAAGTGTGTCCTGTCTGACATCCTAGCTCCGCAACCCTGGCAAATACATTAATCTCTGGGAGATTAACTCTTTAAGACTCTACAAAGTATGGAAGGTGCTGACCTATGTTGGTAGTGGGGTTTTGGTCACTCAGGAAGAGTTCCCTGGCAAAATTCTAGAATATATTATTAAAGGTATAACTAGTGAACATGTAGAAAAATAAACAAAGATCACAAAGAACCACCGCGGCTTCATCCAAATTTCATGACAGACTAATCTTATTTCTTTTCTGAGAGAGTTACAAAACTGGTAGATAAGGGGAATGCTTTAGATATAGTTTACCTAGGTTTTTAGCAAAGCATTTGATAAAAGTCTTTCATGCCATTTTAATGGCAAAGATAAAAGAAATGTGGGCTAAGTGATAGTACAATTAAGAGGAACTGGCTGTGGATCCTAAAAGCAAAAATTAATGGTGTGATGTCCTACTGTAAGGCAGACTCTAGTGGGAGTGCTACAGGTATCTGTGTTTGGCCTTCTGCTATTTAATGCTGTTATCAATGAACTGGATAAAGGCAAAGACGTTGAGTTTATTACATTTTCATATCGCACAAAATTGGAAGGGATAGCTACTACCACACTGGATACCAGGGATAGGATTCAAAAAAATCTTGATAGTTTAAAACATGGATATACATCTAATGAGATGAAGTTTACCAGGAATTTGTTAAAGTCCTATATATGGATGAAAAAAAAATCAACTTCATAGGTTTAAAATAGGAAACTGAGGAATGATTAGATCACAGACAGAAAATGCAATGTGAGACTACAACCAAGACAGTTAAAGTGATCTTAGGAAAGGAACAGGGCCTAGATTTGAGATTTTATTAGTATAAGGGAACTCCTGGGTGACAAAAATCCCACTACCAACATAGGTCAGCACCTTCTCTGTACCTTACAGAGTCTTAGAGAGCTGCCTAGCATCATGAAAGATTAACTTACTTGCCTAGGGTTTCAGAGCTAGTATGTCAGATGCAGGACACACTCTGGAAGGTCTTCCTTTTTTCAAAGCTGGCTATCTCTTACACTACTGCTCTCTCATTAAGAGATGCCTGGTATTTAGTGTGTGCTAGTCAGACTATATAATGGAGTATTCTATTCCATTCTAGGTACTACATTTTAGAAAAAAAAGACATAAAGTAGTTCATATTGCAGAGGATCATTTGAAAGAACTGGGGTTATTTAGCCTGGAGAGTAAAAGATTTGGTAGGTGTTTTCAAGTACCTAAAGGGCTAATATTATCTATAAGAAGTATTAGATTTGTTCTGTTTGTCCCCAGACATTAGAAGTAGGAGAAATAAATGAAATTTGAAAAAAGGGAATGCCTACATTGTACAGAACAGGAAACTAAGGCTCAAGGAGAAGGAACCACAGAACTCAAAATTTAAATGTACAAGGGCCAGAAAATGTCAACTAAATAAATTTCCCTCATTTCACGGATAGGAAAATTGAAGCCCAGTTTTTCATAACATCTCCACTTATTCCTAAACTTCTGAATCCTCATGTTCTCTAAAAATGAAGGTTTTTTTGGTTTCTATTTTTATTTTTTAACAATCTTTCCCTTTCCTTGTCTAGTATTTCCATCTACTAGGGTGACTCAGAAATGGTCAAGTTCATTTTCTAAGTCTATCTTCTTTTGACAAACATCAGCATATCTCCAACCTAATTTTTAACTGTGCACTCTCAATCCACTACATAGGCATATTTAATCATACACACTTCAAAGTGTAGTAATACATATATGTAGGGGATCGAGCACATACAATATGTTTATGTATACAAAGAATGATATACTTTATACCTCTAATGTGGGTGTGGATGAGGGTAGTGTGAGAAAACAATCCCGCCTTAAATTAAACTGAATAAATTAAGATGTGGTTCTGCAAGCCTGGTCTAAATCAGTCACTTGCTTTCTGAAAAGGGACAGAAATACTTTCCTATGTCCTTTGGTCCACTATTTCATAATGGGATCATTCAGCAAATTCACCTTATGTTTAATATCTAGCCTGACATAAACCATAAGGATTGAATAAAAGTGGAGCCAAGAGGCATTCTGTCCCATGGCCAGGAAAGTCTGAAAATCCAAAAGAAATCACTGCAAGACAAGCATTGTTCCACTACTACCTGTTGAAATTCTATCCATCCTTCAGGACCCAGATTTCATTCTACTTCTCCCAAGAAGCCTTCTTCCATTCCCCCAGCTGAAAATGCTCTCCTTTTCCTAAGAAAGCTGTAGTACTTTCTTCACTTCTTTTATATGGCACTTACAAAAACATGTAACAGTTATTTGTATACATGACTTATATCCTTTTCTTGATGGTAAATTTCCTGAAGGCAGTGGTAGTGTCTTATTTATCCTTCTATCTCCTCCAGTCCTTTCACTTAACAAATGTTTGTAGAATAAGCAGTACACACATAATTTAAGCATCCACAATGCACTGTTAGGTACTTATGGAAAATAATTAGTAAATGATAACTACTGTGTTTATGTCATGCTTTTGTGATTTATAAAATTCTTCACAAATACCCTTTGAGGCATGTGTGTGCAGGTACTATTATCCCTATTTTACAAATGAAGAAACTGAGGCTAAGAAGGATGAAGTGATCTATGGCAGCACCAAACCTTGTAGCTCCAAGGCTGGCAATTTTCCCACTGCACTATATCCTTATAGAGAGTACTGACTAATAGAGGATATACCCACACGCCCATTCACACACACCACAGCAAGAAGATGAAGGATGTAAAAGTCATAAAAAGCTGAACAAATGAAGACATAGAGACCAGCCAGTATATACATTCAGACTACATGAAGAGGGACCTAACCAAGTCCAGACACAGCTTTCCTTAGCTGGATACCTCATGGCTCTTGGACACCTCAGGGAGCTCAAGGGCCTCAAAAGGAGAACACCCAAACCATTCTATCATAATATACTTTACCTTTGTTGAACGTGTTTTGCTAAAAACATTCCAAAATCTCAGAGTTTCATCTCCAGCACCTGTAACTATGGCCTCTCCATCAGGAGACATTGCCTGAGAGAGGAAAGGAAAACACACTGGTATCAATTTTTTCTTATTAATTACTCCTTTTTGGTCAACTGTTAGTGGGTAAGAATTCCACCCAAACAAATCTCTTCCTTGGGGCCAGGCTTAAATACTGAGATATCAAGGGGGAATTAACTCATAATACTATAGCTATAATTTTCTCTTCCTATATCTTAATACTGAGACCTCAAGGGAGAATTACTGTTCCATCTACAATAACTAAGTAGCTATAACTCTTCTCCCTTCTGCCCCTGCCCCACCCGCCGCATTATGTCTAAATCTCCCATAGGGAAGGAATGTACAAGATTCTAGAAGCCCAGCTGCAGAGGATCTCCTCATACGGTCAGATGGGTTCAGTTACCTGCCTTCAAGCAGGTGAACTTCTAAATTAGGGATGAAAGACTGCAGATGAAAAATTTTTATTTCAAGTGTTGCTCAAGGCAGCAGATGAATTCTAAAACTGTTCAATGTCAAACAAATCTGAAGGCAAAAAGAAGCATAGTCTTATTGCTCAGTCTCCCAAACATGGCACATGCCTTCAATATCCACATGAATTATTCACACAGTATAGGAGGGAGATGAGGGGGAGAAAGCAGAATACAGAGAAGATCATCTGGTGTCTTAGTTAGCACTTTCCACCAAATCTCTTTCAAGGAATCTTGATATTCCATGCAGTGTGAACAGGAGCTCTGTGAGAAAATCTTGATGCAATATTCCCTGCCTTAAACTTACTAAGCAGAGGCAGTATGAAAGTGTGGGGACAGTATTGGGAGTCAGAAAGATCTGAGTTCAAACCCAATCTCTAACACTTCTGGATGTGTTGGAGGAAATTCCCACTCCTCCATGAAACCAGATCCTCTGTATATTTGCATAAATTTGCATGTATGAAATCTACCTTAAAAATACTTAAAGAAACACCATGGCATAGTGGATAGAGAGTTGGCCTTGGAACTAGTATCCCCAGGGTTTAAACCTTGCCTGTGACACTGATAAGTTACTTAACTTGACCATTCTCTAGGCAACTCTCAAAGACTATTAGCTGCAGAGGGGGATGTTGTAGGGAGTTCCTACAAGGTGCTTAATAGGAGCTCCCTACACTAAAGAAATTCCAGGTCTAGTGCCCACCTCTGCCCCTATTCAAAAAAACATACGAGAAAGAGATATTTTTTCCCCCAATATGAGAAAAGGCCTAGTTTACTCAATTTTGTGTCAAGATTTCTCTGGCCCTCATTTATCAAAGAAATATTCTATACCCCAAGACAAGTCACAGAATCATAAAATCTTAAGAGATGTAAGAGACTTAAAAAGGTCCCCTAGTGCAACGTGCCTGATGCATGAAATGCCTCTTCTGCAATGTTTCATAACACAGTTGATACAGAGGACCTGCCAAATAGCTGTATGTACGTGTTTTTTCCTACCTGACCCAGCCTGGGTGTGGTGATTCAAGGGTCAGGAAAAAGGGAGACAGAATGGGAGGAGTAGGATACAGTCAAGAGGAGAAGGGCTATCAATTTTCTAAAAAGTAATATCCTTTGGCAGTCAAAGTTCTGAAGCCCAGGAACAATTTACTGTGAAATGGCAGTTGGGAAAGACTATTGTACAACACGTGTAACAAGTGGTCATCCCACTTTTGTTTGTCAGGACTTCTAGAAGAAGTGATTTATTGCCACCCAAAGCAGGCTATTCCTTTGTTGGATGGGGAGGAAGAAAGGAAACAAGCTTTTATTAAGCACACACTATGTGCCGGCCATTGTAGTGAGTGCTTTATAAATACTATCTCACAATGTCACCCTCATAATAACCCTGGGAGGTAGGTGCTATTATTATCCCCATTTTACCACTAAGGAAACTGAGGCAGATAGAAATTAAGTAACTCATCCAGGGTGACAGAGCTAAGTGTCTGAGAACAGATTTGATTTTATATCTCCCTGACTTTAGGCCTAATGCTCTATCCACTGTGCCACTTTGCTGCTTCTAACAGTCCTGGTTGTTAGAAGTTTTCCTTATACTGCCCTTCTATCCAATTCCCTCACTGATCTGAGTTTTGTGTTCTGGAATTAAGCAAAGGAAGCCTAGTCCTTCTTCCACGTGACAGCTATTCAGAAATCTAAAGACAAGCTCTCAACTCCTGTCTGTGGAACAGCCTTCTATGTGGTGTCTCTCCCTCTAGGCACTCTGCCTTTTAATCCATCCTGCATAAAGCTGCTCAAATCATCTTTCTGTGGCACAGGTCTGACCACGTTTCACACCGTTGCTCAAAAACCTTTAATAACACCTCCCAACACCTCTCCCTTTAGGGTAAAATAGATAGGGGATAAAGTACTGGACCTGGAGTCAGGAAGATCTGAGTTCAAATTCTGCCTTAGAAACTTACTTCTTGCTTAGTTACACTTATTTAAGTGACTTACCTGGACAAATCACTTAAGTGCTGCCTACCTCAGTTTCCCCATCTGTTAAATGGAGATAATAATAGCACCTACCTCCCAGGGTTGTTACTATTATTATTATTATCATTAAAATTAAAATTCCTTAGCCTGGAATTCCTTAAATTCAAGACCCTTCACAATTAGGCTTTATCCTACCTCTTCCTGGCCCTTATTTCACCTCACCCTTTTCAAATACTCCAGCCAAATCTGTTCCCGGAATTCACCACCATGCATCTCTAAGCATTCACACAAACCACTCCTTCCACCTGCTATTCATTTCTTATTCCTGCCTTTTGGAATCTTTCTCTCTTCCTCCTTCTTCAAGGCTCACTTAGGCTAACCCTCCCAATTTGTTAATATTCTTTCTCTCCTCAAATTTTCCTTCAGTGTCATGTCTTCTGTCTCTCTTGCTCCCCTCCTTTACTTCCTAACTTGTATTACCCTTACTTACATCCGTGTTCTGATCACCCACTCCCTCCTTGTAAGCTCTTTGACTAGACAGAATATTCATTACAATTTTGCTTTTATATGCTCAATGCCTAGCACACAGTAGACACTTAATGTTTCTTCAACAGAACTAAATCTATTTCAAGCCCCAAAGCACTCTGTAGCCAAATACATTTGGAAAACTCTGCTGTTCAGTGACTTACCAGATATAAAACTCGGTACGAATGTCCTGTCAGTTTGGCTACTTGTGTCAAGGAAGGGTATTTCCAGACGAGGATCTGGTTTTGTGAGTATCCATGTGTGCTCACCTGAGAGGGAGGAGGAACACAAAAAATTTAAAACAAGGGCAGCTAAGGATGATCGCTCTCCTGGGGTATGACTGGCACCCAGCTCCTGGATACCTCTGAGTGTGGGAGGTACTGTTCTGGGTGGAATCTAAAGTCTACCACCTGATTTAATATTTCAGAGAACAATTTAATAATTCATGTGTATTGCTGATTTAAAGGCATTTGAATTATACTTTTCTGCTAGCTTTCATAATGCTGAGCACATCATAAGCCAAGGGTTGACAATCCTTCTCAAGTGGTGTGCAAGATCTTAAATGATTCATTCCCTTGAGAGCAGGAGGTGGAGAAAGAAGGTATGTGCTAAATAACACATGTACTCAGGGGAAGTCCACAGATATATCATGCAAGGGGACAGATGCAAAGAAATGAAAAGTTAGAAAGGCACTTCAGAGGGTACCTAGTCCAACCTGTACTTTAACAGGAAAACAACAACATTCCCAACAAATGGCCAGCCAGCTTCTGCCTACAAACCCTTCAGTGATGGGAAACCCACTATCTCCAGGCTCTACTTTTGAAGAATTCCAACCATTAAGAGAGCTTTTGCTTACGTCAAGGCCAAATCTCTTTCTACAACTTCTCTGAGTGTTGCCTCAATCTGCGCCATACAGTGGCTCCCTCCTTCCCCAAAATTTAATGAACTCCAAGTTCCTGGAATTCACATGTCCCAGTAATCAGGAAGTGATGACATGTATTCAGGAGGACAAGGATAACAGAGGTTTTCCTCTCCTCTCCACCTTGTCCCCCCAAATATACTCAGATCTTTCTGCAACCACCACCAAAACACCAATAAGAAATATCCCATGTGAATTTCTTTGGCACACACCCTACAGGTTACCAAACCATGTTGACAGTTGTTCAAAAGACACTAGATGGCTTTCTGGCTCTTACTAGTTCATTGGCGTGTTTGGACCAGGCCAGGTTGCACACTTGAGAACCAGTATCAATACACTGCAGAGGCTGTCCTGTAAGTGTGTTCCAGAAGCGGATGCAGCGGTCAGCTGTTCCGCCACCTGATGCCAATAAGCCATGCTGGTGGGGAGACCAGGCGATTGCTTTCACAGCTGCTAGATGCTCGGTGTACTGTTGGACAGGACTTAAACTGGAGTGGTTCCAGACCAGAAGCTGAGGAAATAAGACAGAAGAGATGAAATCAACCCGTCAATCTAGGTTTTCTGGACCATGAGGCTGGTAATTTCAAAACAGTAAAGTGAATGATTCCTGAACTCCAACAGCTAGATCAGTCTTTGGTGGTCATCTCCTCTTTTACATATAGAGGAATTGCGGTCCAGCAGGGGAAATGACTTACCTAAGGTCATAAAGGAGTACTATTAGTGGACTGTGACTAGAACCAGAGGTTCACAGAACTTGAGAGAGAAAAGGGGTTTTAAAGATGATCTTGACTAACCATCTCATTTGACAGACAAGAAAACTCAAATCTATAGAGGTTAGGTCACATGCCCAAGGTCACACACATAGTAAGGAGCAGAGGCCAGATTCACTCCAAAGTCCTCTGACTCCAAATCTATTCAGACCATGTTATCTTTTCACAGATTCCTAGTCCCCTTAAACGAATGCCTTACAAGGATGTGTGCCTGATTCTGTCAGAAAAGTCAGATTTCACATGTAAAAGAAAGACTGCAGGGAAAGGGAAATATTTAACTCAAGAGAAATAACCATTAACAGTAGAATTTCAGGTCTTGGTGAGAAAAGGAGATGTTGGGAAAGAGGGTAGCCAAAGATCACACCATCTAAAATCACCTATAAATCAATCAATCAATCAACAAGCATTTAGTTGAGCATTCAAAGTGTATCAGGGACATATTGGGGCAGGTAGGTGGCTCAGCTCATAGATCTCCAGCCTTGGAGTCAGGAAGACTTCAGTTCAAATATGGCCTCAACACATAACACTACCTGTGTGACTGTGGGCAAGTCACTTAACTCCAACTGCTTCACACCAAAAAAAATGTATCAGGGGCTAGGGATAAAAAAAAAAAAAGCTGGCCCTGCCCTCAAGAATCTTACATTTTATTTGCAAGGCAAATGTACACATATAAATAGTATATATGAAATAAATACAAGGCAACTTAGAGAGAACGGCTTTAAAGGCCAAACAGAAGAGTCTGTATTTGACACGAGAACAAACAGGAAGCCACTAGAGCTTACTGAATAGGAAAATAACTGCATTAAACACCTATGCTTCTGGTTGTTATGCAGGCGTCAAGGATGGATTGGAGAAGGGAGAGACTAGACATGCAGAAAGACCAATTAGGAGGCTATTGCAATAGTTCAGGAAAATAGGTGACAAGGAGGTGGCTGTATCAGTAGAGAGAAGGGGACAGATGTGAGAGATATCGTGGAGGTAGAATTTATAAGACTTGACATCCTTTTCCTCCTCACGGCTAACATTTATTAAGTGCCAGGGACTTTACAATTGTTACTTCATTTGATTCTCACAACAGCTCTTAAAAGCAGGTACTATTATTCCCACTTTACAGATGAGGAAACTGAGGCAATCATGATTAAATGACTTGCCCAGAGTCACTCAGCTAATAAATGTGTGAGGCTGGAATTGAACTCAAGTTTTCTTAAGTCCAGGCCCAGGTCTCTGTCCACTGCACCACCTAGTTGCCTCCTGTGAGAAGAAGGAGAGTGAAGAGTCGAGGATAACTCCTGAGATATCAAAGCTGGGTAACTGGAAGAGGATGGCAGTGCCCTCAAAAGAAAAAGGGATATTTGGAAAAGAGACAGATTGGGAGAAAGAACTTAGTTCTCTTTTTGACATGTGAAAATAGGAATTACTACCATAACATATTTTAGTAGCTTTAAAATTTTATTAACCTGCTTTTTCTTCAATTTGACAAGATTTTTGAGGGCCAGGAGTTGTAATAATGATAAGGATGACGAGAACTCACCTTCATCTATCACTTTAATACTGACAAAGTGTTTTCCTCAGACAACCTGTTTTTTCCTCCCCCAATTTTTTTTTTGGGGGGGTAAGGCTTAAATGGGGTTAAGTGACTTGCCCAAGTTAAATGCTCAAACAACCTGTTAAACAGGCACACAAATATCCTCTTTCCCACTTTAAGGGTAGAGAAACTAAGGCTCTGTGGGGTAAAGTAGTCCCATTGGAATTACGTGCCAGAGACACGATTCAAGCCAATGTTGGCTGACTCTGACTCCTGTGCTTTTCCCACCCTACCCCATACCCTGCTGGGCCTGGGACAGTGATGGAGGGAACAGAGCAGATTTTCAATCACTTCTATACCACGTCACCTCGAACTGCCCTTTGAGAGAGGCAGGACATGGTCTCCCCAGACCCCAGATGAAGAAGAAAAGCCTAAGCAGCTGACAAATTGCATCACAGCACAGCTGAGACTATAAGCAAAGAGCAGAAATCCCTATTAGACTGCCAGGTGCTTGAGGAAGACACTGTTGTTTTTCCAACTCTGCATTCCTAGCATGGAACAAGAACTTTGTACATTGTAGATGCTTAATAATAAACTGGTTAATTGAGACACATGACTTTACCCTCGGTAATAGAGGAGGCGGCCAAACAGTTCCCTACCTTATTATCATTTCCACCTGATGCAAGAAGCTGGTGATCAGTGGACCACTTTAGCCCACACACCTCCTGCCGGTGACCTTGCAGCCGCCGTTCAGTCTGCACTGGGGGTGTTCGGATATCTCTCTGGAGAATCATTCTATCTCTGCTTCCAGAAGAAAGCTGGTCTGCATTCCAGGCCAACGCACCTAAGACAGAGAACCAATGACCTGAGAAAGTGTACGAGGCTGCCTCCAGGAAGTCAAACAGAAGCAGCCTTGACAGATAAGAAACTGTTCTATGAAGTCTTTTTTTCTGGAGAAGGCCAGAAATATGCAAAGCCTTCCTTGGAAAGTGAAGTGAGTTGAAAAATCCCTGTCTGCAAACTGCCAGACAAGAGAAATATTATGACTCCCTGAATTCCAGAAGGAACACTGGAGGTCACCAAGTCTGTGTGCCTGTCTGATGGCTGAATACTCTCCACACATCCTCAATAAATTGGTACCCAGTCAACAAGTATTTATTAAGTGACTGTTATGTGTCATGCACTACGCTAGGCTATGGGAACACAAATACAATGAAAAGTCCCCGCCCTCAAGGAACTGAAAGTCTGTAGCCATGTACCCATACAGACAATATGTCCATACACAGGCAAACACAAGGCTTTGTGTAGGAGGGAGCGCTTGGGCTGAGCAGCTGAATTCACCCTTCAAATTATGAAGAACTCACTTCAAAAAAATTATACATAAATATTATTTTATGCCTTCTTCTGTAACTCTGCCCGATCATCATACTGATCAGAATTCCCAATTCATTCAAAATTGTATGCCTTTACCATACTGTTGTGTTTGTATAAACACAGTTTATACTGTTTTGTAAAGCTGTTTTTCTGGTTCTGCTCACCTTATTTGGTGTCAGTTTACACAAGTCTACCCAGGTTTCTCCGAAACTATCCCCTTCATCATTTCTTCACAGTACAGTAATATTTCATCACATTTATATACCACACATAATTCAGCCATTCCCCAATTTATGAGCACCCTCCCTCAGATTCCCATACTTTGCTATTTCAAAAAAAAAGTTTGTGTGTGTGTGTGTGTGTGTGTATATGTGTGTACATATGTGGTTATATGTTTATTATGTGTATATAAAATGAATTTTCATATACCCTTGAGATGTGTTTTGCTTAGGACTAATCCCTCCCCCTTTCTCCCTGTTTCCTATTTCCTTGTTGAGTAAAATGTATTTTTGTACCAAACTCTGCGTACATTCTTTCTTCCTTTGAACACTTTAGATGAGAATAAAGTTCAAATGTCAGCCATTCTCCCCAAAGCTCTTCTCCTTATTTGCGTAGATGTTTACTTGGGCACCCTGATTACGTGGGGAAAATTTCCCTAACCTTCTTTTCTTTCCCCACCTAGTGTATTCCTCTTTTCCTCCCTTTCCATTCTTTTTTTAAGATCATTAAGACATGAGAACCACTTCCAGGCCTTGTCTAAATAGACTCCTGTGATCTCTGATGATGACAGGGTCCAGAAGAGAAAGACATATCAACTTCCCATATTAGAATATAAATAGTTTATCTGAAATTGATTAATCAAATCCTTCCTTCCTTCTCATGAAGCTTTGGTGAAATAAAAAGCAAAGCCCTTTGTTCCTTCCTTCAGGAAATTTAGGTTGGGCTCATGTTGCTGGATATCAACATGGTTTCCAATCTATGAAGTGAAATCCCTATTTAACTGTTTAGGTAATCTCCCCTCTCCCCTGGGACAAATTAAGGTTCCTTCTCTGTGTTACCTTCTTCATTGTTGTCCCTTATCATTGTTCATTCATGTTTACCTTTTTATGTTTGTATTAATTCTTGTATTTGAACCTCCAAATTTCTACACAGTTAGGTCTTTGTCTCATGGAGTTATTATCTTTTATATGGTCCATTCTAATTTTTCAGAGAGTTTGTTGCTTGGTTAAGGTTAAGCTGTTAATTCTCTTTCCAATCTTTTTCTTCCATAGCTCTCATTTCTTTTCCAATTTTTTTTCCCCCTTCAGGACTTGCATTTCATTGACAAAAACCTTTTCAACTCTTACTTTTCCTCTTTTTTAATTAAATGCTTCTTTCACATCTTCTAGGAATTCTAGCTGAATTTGTGCCCAAGCTGTGTTTTCCTTTGAGGCTTTGCGAGATGTTTGGTAACCATTTGCTTCTTCTGGGTTTGTGTCCTGAGCATTCCTGCCACCATAACAACTCTTCATGGTGAGATTTTTTTGTTTGCTTGCTTGTTTTTTCTTCCAGCCCAGTTCCTGACTCTAGACTTCATGCTATTAGGGCTGGATTTTGTGCACTTCTGTAGGGAAAATCTGGGCTGGTCCAGCTGCTTTCCTTAGTTAATGAATACTGTGCTGTTCTAAGATTTCAGGATAGCTCAGCATGGGGACTTGGAAGCTTTCGGCGCTCCCAAAATTGTCTGATCCAAGGCACAGTCTGAATACAAACCTGGTTTGAACTCCGCAAGTTCCTGACCTTGGTTTGGGGCTGAACAGGAGTAGATTATTGCTGAACTCAGTCACTGTCAGCTAGCTAGGAAGCCCAGCTGGTTCAGAGTTACAAAAGTGCAGGTTCCCCTTTGATTTGTGATTTCCACCTTAGCTATTCCTCTGCAGACTTCAAACTGGGATGGAGGCTGGAAATGATACTCCACTCTGCTCCTGGAATCTGAGTCACACTTTTATTGTTTGATTCTCAACTTGCTCCTACCTGTGCATAGTGCCTAGGGCCTGGGGGAAATGAAGGGAAAAGGTCCTTTTGTCAATGCCCTTCGGATCTGTGACTCAGAATTGGGTAGTGGGCAACAAAGCTGACAATTTGCACTTGTCCTTCTTGTGGGGTCCCAGTACAGGTCTGGTGCCCCTTCTTATCTCAATTCAGATTCTCTTTGGATGTTAGAAAGCTTCACATGCCAGTACCCTTCGCTCTAGGCCTTGTTCACAGTGACTGCAGAATTCTCTCTGTCTCCCTATGCCAACCCAGGCTACAAAAATGACTCACTCACACTTTTCTTAGCTATTCCCAACAGAATTCAGTCTGGTGCATCTTCTAGATCTAGATATTTGGAGGAGGGTTATTTTTGTGGGGAGGAGAGGGGGAGAGTTCCTCACTGAACTGTTTCTTGCTATTCTGACATCTTGGCTCCTTGGAAACTCACTTCCTTGATAAGGTGGTGAAGTGCAAAGAATGCTGTTATGTGGAATCAGAGGACTTAAGTTCAAACCTTTTTTCACTTATAATCTGTGTAACTTTGGTCAAATCACTTAAGCTCTCTAAACCTGTTTTCTTATTTATAAAGTGATGGGTCTGTGCTAGAAAGGCTCCTACAGTCCTTTTAGGCTCTTACATCTATGGTCCTGATATAGCTCACAAGGCTGTCTGTTCCAGTGATGGCCATGTTTGAATATTAGAAAGTTATTTCTTATATTGACTGAATTTCTACCCAACTGTTCACACAGAACAAATCTTTCTCTCTTTCACAAAACAGCTTTTCAGATACTTGAGGACAATAGTTATGTCTCCCTGCCTCTGTCTTCTCTAAGTTTCTTCAAATGATCCTTATATGACATGGTTTTGAGGACACTCAAAATCATGATGGCTGTGAAACCATCCCACTCATAAAAAGAAGTCTTAGGAAACACAAATGCACTAGATAGCCTTCAGATGAAGATAAGTCAACACATATATTGACCTTTGTTGATTTAACTAAGCCCTTCTTCTCTGTTTCCAGTTCTTAAAGACTTCCAAATCATCCTGGAACTTCCCTCATTGCCTGGGGCCTCCTCATCCTGGAACATCCCTTGTCTCAACATGGAACATATCTCCCTCTCCTCACACTGGTGATTTCCTCCCGGAGCCTCCATTTTGTGGAGGGGCCCAGGCTAATCTTTATTTCCCTTCTGGCTCTGTTCCTGGCTTCTGGATCTCAAAACTATACCTCCACAGTCTTTCAAGCTCCCTTTAATGTACTGTCTTCTCTCATTAGAAGGTACACTCTGTGAGTGCAAGAACATCTTTCTTTTTGTTAATATTTGTATTTCTAGCTCTGGGCAGTGCCTGGCACATAGTAACTGCTAAATAAAACAATCCTTAATAAACAAAAAAACAAATAAAACAATACTTCCATCTTCCTGATAGAGTTTTGGTGAATTAAAAAGTGAGGCCCTTTGTTTCTCCCTTCAGGAAATTTAGGCTAGGCTCACGCTGCCAGATATAAACATGGCTTCCAACTTATGGCGTGAAATCCCAGTTTAGTTATTCAGGCAATCTCCCCCCACCCTCCTTCCAGGCAAGTAAAGGTGTCTCCTGTTATCTTTGTTGCTATTTCTTACCAACTCTGGCTGTGTGTCCTTCCAGCATGGACAGTTTCTTCCCTGCTGCTGCATCCCAGATCTGTACAAAGCCTTTGTGTGTGCCAACTGCTACCAAGTTCCCCTAAATCAGCAAAAAATATACACGTAGAATGACTTGAGAGGAAAGGGAAAAGAAATATGCAGAAAAGGTAGAGATGTCCAAAGAGATTTAGTTCTCTCCAAGACTTTAATAAATGCTTTTTCATATTAGCCTAGCAGCAGGCTCTGAGAGGGGAAAAGATATTTTTTCATTTTTCAGCATAAAACTTGCTCCTTTCCATTATCATGAATGCCTGTTCTATTCTGCCTTTACCAGCTTTGATCCAGGAGCAGGATACTTCCTTTAGGGGGAGAAGGAAGGAGAGACAGAGGGATCACCTTTCAAAAGTGGAATACCAAGGCTCCTGCTGACAAGCTGAGGAGAGGAAGGGAAGTTCTGCTAACTTTTAGAAGGGCACACAGTGCTCTGAAGAAGCTAATTCCTAATTTTCACAAGTGTAGGGGGTACTAAAAATGTTCCTGTTTGTTGCCTTTGGCCCACATACAATAGGCTATTAATCTTAATAAAGGATTTTATGTCATTACTGATAACATGAGTCTTAGTAAAAGATGCTAAACAAATCCAAGGAAAATGATTATGAATAATTGCAATATACAAACACAAATACTAATTGGCAAAAGGTTCACTTACAAAGTATTCTTACGATCACATTTTAGATATTTACATATGAGAAAACTGAGGCCGACAGAAGGTAAATGATTAGCCTAAAGTCATACAAGCAGTAAACGGCAGACCTGGGATTCAAATTCAGGTTTTTTGATTTCAAATTCAATGCTCTTTTAACATTTCTACTGACATCTCAAGGCTATCATGGGGAAAGTGCTTTGTAAACTATAAAGGGCTTGTGGGATTTTTTTTTCACTATACCACACCTCCTCAGAGAGTTTTTCTGTTAAAGAAGACTATTCTAGTTGCTGCTATTCAAGAAAGAACAACAACAACAAGTTCTTTAAAATCCCACGCATGGAACAGATACTGAGGTTTGCTGCTGTCGTTCAGTCATTTCATTTGTGTCCAGCTTTTTCTGACCCCGTTTGGGGTTTCCTTGGCAGAGATACTGGAGCGCTTTGCCATTTTCCTTCTCCAACTCACTTTACAGATGAAGAAACTGAGGCAAACAGGGTTAAGAGACTTGCCCGGGTTCACACAGCTAGTAAGTGTCTGAGGCCAGATTTGAACTTAGGAAAATGAGTCTTCCTGACTTTGGGCCCAGTGCTCTAACCACTATGGCACCCAGATGTCCTATTAGGGCAAAATCATTAGTTCTTAAGTGTCTCAATAACCCTTTTCAAGTTTTCAGAGCAGACAGAGTATCAGTTGAGCAACAGCAAAACAATGTTAGCACAAACCCACGCTATAATACCCGTAAGAAACACATTGTACTGACCCGTTCAGACCAGCCCACAGAAGTCACGGAATCTCCTTCCACAGACAGATCACATAGCCTGGTTACCTGGAAAACAGCAAACATTAACAATACTGAGGTATACATCTCCTCATGTTCTAAGGTCCAACTCAAGTCTTCTCTCCTCCATATAGCCGCTGACCCCACCTATCTCCGTTTAGCTGTCTTGCCTCCCCAGAGGTACCAATGGGCTCCAGCTGGGCAGTCTCCTCACAGTCCCTTGCACAGCAGGCTCACTTCTGCTTCCAAAGCTTTTCTAATTCCACTTCCCCCCAACTGGAATGTCCTTAGTTTTCTCTCTCATCTGAATCTGATGCAGCTGTCAAGATTCACCTCAAGTCCTACCCTCTCCATGAAGCTTGTCTGAATCTCCATTCCTCACTGATCTGTCGCCTTATCAGAATTCCTTTTACGCTGTCAATATCATACAATTTAGCACTTAATAATATCTGACATTTAAAATTTACAAAACACTTTACGTATATTATCTCATTTGATCCTCAACCCTGAGGGGCAGGTATGAACAAGTTATTATTCTTCTCATTTTACAGATGAAAGAAATGAAGTACAGAGTTGTTAAACACTGTGTTTCGGGTGGCACAGCCAGTGTCAGTTAGGATTTGAATCCTAGACTACTGACTCCAAGTCCTGTGTTCTTTCTGTTATAGCATAATACAGTTCCCAGGACTGTAATGTGAACATAGCAGAGATTCAATAAAAGCAAAACTGATTGATGGAGAAAGCAAAAAAAGGATCATGACCACTAATCAGACTTCTCTGTCCTCATGAACACCGAGATCAGGCCTCAAGAGGAACACAGAGCAGTCAGGGCTACTACAGTGGGCAGAGGGGTTGGATGCTCAGCCAGTCTGGTAGACTGCCTTGGGTGAAGGGATTAGGGCATTGTGAAAGGCACACTTAGCAAAAAGATCCAATGGAACCGCCAAGATTTAAAAAATTTAATACTTAAAATAATATGTAAACCTTAAGATTGAAAAGCTGGAATAGAAGGGGCAGCTCTGCACAAAAAACTAGGATCCTAAAAGCCCTGAACATTTCTTGGGTCTTTCCTTAACACGCAAGCATTTAAACAGTATAATATTGAACGCAGAATAATTAGGAGTGTGCTTTATAAACCTTAAAATGATATAAATATGTAAGCTATTGACTTGCTTATATCTTATGCCATCAGCTTTGAGATCTCCAACAGTCTAATAAAATCTAAGATACTGAAGTCCTTTCTAGCTCAAACACTTTATGTTCTAAGGTCCCTTTCAGCATTAAAGTTCTATGTTCTAAGGTGTCTTCCATTTCAACTATCTAAGTTGTGTCTCTTCTATTACTAATAATCACTAATAATCTACTTTCTATAAATGTTTATTTTTGCTATTATATCTCTCTCAGTTCTAATAATTTTAAGGGACCTTTCAGCAATATTTTTTACTATATGACCTAAGGTCTTGTCCAGCTGTAACATCTGATGTGCCAAAGTTCTATAGAGAACAGAAAATCACATTAATTTATTTGCTTTAAAAAAATACATAAAGCCACTTGAGAACCTTTTGTGGCTACTTAAGTAGAACAGAACCGTTCCCTCTTGCCCACTGACTCCACCCTCCCACCCTTATTCCAAAAGGCCCATCATCCATACCTGGCTGGTACATGCACTCCATAGATAAACACAAGTGCCCAGGCCAACACTTAGGACATTGAGGGAAGACCAGTCTACCAGATTCAGGTAGAAGTCATCTTGGAGCTCAGGGGCATCAAGGACTTTGAAAGGGATTTTGGAAATTTTTCTGGTAGGTTTCCGTGGAGATCTTAATAACTTCTGGCTATTTTCCAAAAAAGAAAAAGATTACATGGATAGACAGATGTGTGTGTGTGTGTGTGTGTGTGTCTACACAAAGAAAAATTTCATATCACACATTTGCCACTAGAAACAGTACTTTTCAATGGTAAATGATCAATAAGGATTGATGATGAAGAAAAGACCCCTTTTCCTTTCAGTCTGTTTATGTACACAGAAAGGCAGGTTGTTAATTCAAACACTTATTTAGTGATTACTATTAAATTCAGTTCATAGGATATGAAGTTGAAAAGGCCATTAAAAATAATTCACTCTAAATTCAGAGAAACATGAGAAGACTGGTATAAAATGATAGAACTTGAAGAAAGCAGAACCAGAAGAATAACAGACATGACTACAATGATGTGATCACTTTTTTGTTTGGATTTTCATCATTTTTTTTTTTACTTTTTAAAAAATTATTACACAGGAACATTCAACTGAGGTGGGGGGGAAATAATTTTGTTTAAAAGAAAAGGCATAAAGAAAAGTTGTTGGGGTAAAACCCTAATCTTAATTCCCTCATCATTTTACATTTTGACAAAGTATAGCTCAGAGGGAAGTGACCTGCCCAATATCATACCTGAAGTAAATGGCAGAACTGGGATTCAAACCCAGGTCTTTTAATTCTGAATTCATAGTTCTTTGAATATCACACGCTGGTTTCATAATTCAATTAAACTTATTTCAATGTACATTTATTAGGTACTCTTCAGAGCTTCATGCGGGGCACTGGGGATACAAAGCTGATTTTTTTGTCACTATGGCATGGAGTGAATCCTGGTTCTTGAAGTCTGGGCCAACAGGGCACAAACACTATCACGTTCTTGAAGTTCCATAGACAACAAATGTAGCCTCACCAATGTTCTGCTGTCCAATTAAGTAGAGAAAGGCCTATCATGCATCAGGAGGTTGAAATAAGGTAACAGCATGGCAATAACCCATGAAACAAAGAAAAATGCAAAATTATCCTCAGAACTCTGGGGCCCTTTTTGTTTCTGCTGTGACAGCAGCAGAAAAGCAGGAAAAGATGTGGAGCACTCTAAGAATCCCTTTAAGACTCTTTGTAAGCATCAATAAGCCACTGGTTCATTAGATGTAAGATCTTTTGTCCATTGACAAGAAGTACTCGCATACGATTAAAGAAAATGAATTCTGTCAGTACTGATATTCTCACATTCTAAGTCCACTTAGAAGACAGAAATGGGTTGCAGGTAGCTGACAGGATGACTCATAGGCTTCCCTTTGGCAGAGCTATGGAAATATCATCACACACTACATTTAATCATCTCAATCTATGAGAAAGCATTGTGCTAATTTCTGGGGACAGTAAGACAAATGAAAAACCATCCCTGTCCTTAAGGAGCTTACATTCCAATGGGCAAGCCAACATGACCTCACAGAAGTGAGAAGGGAGTTCATTTCAGGCATGAGGAACAGTCAGGGCAAAGGCATGGAGAAAGGAAATGGGAGTGTTGTGGGGGAGGAACAGGAAGAAGGCCAGGGTTGGCTAGACTCTAGAGTGTGTGGAGAGAAATAATGGATAATCAGGCTGGAAAGCTAGGATGGAGTTAGGCTTCAAAAAGTTTGTAGCACTCAAGATAAAACACCTGCAAAAAGAGAATCGTGAAGATAACTGGTTCATGTATCAATATTTATTACAGAGAAAGAAGTAAAGAAATTCTATAAAGGGCTGAGATTCTCCAAAGTAAATCAACATATTCTTTTACTATTCAACCTGCAGTTGAACCCTTCTATCAGTCAGTCAACAAACATTTATTAAGTCTCTACTATATGCCAGACACTAAGCTAGGTACTGGGGATACGAAAAAGGCAACAGACAATCCCTGCTCTCAAGGAGTTCACTGTCTCATCAGGGAGCAAACAACTACATAAAACAAGAAAGAGACAAGATAAATCGGAAACAATCAAGGGAAGGAAGGCACTGGTATGAAGGGGAATCAGGAAAGGCTTCCGGTAGAAGATGGGTTTTAGCTAGGAAGCCAGGAGAAGGAGTTGAGGAGGGAAAGTATTCCAAATATGAAGAACAGCCAAAATGCATGCCTCCAGTTGGGAGATGAGTGTGTCTTGTTTGTGAAACAAGGAGGCCACTGTCATTGTATAGCAGAGTATATGGTGGGGGAATAAGGTGTAAGAAGACTATGAAAGTAGGAAGAGACCAGGTTCTGAAGTGCTTTGAATGGCAGAGGATTTCTATTTGATCTTAGAGGTGACTGGGGACCACTGGAATTGACTGAGTAGGGGAGTGAGATGGTCACACTTGAGCTTTAAGAAAATCACTGATAGCTGAGTAGAGGATGGATGAGAGTGGGAAGAAATTTGTGGCCCAGAGATCAAACAGCAGGCTATAGTTCAGGCACGAGGTGATGAGGGGCCTGTACCAGAGTAGTGTCAGTGTCAGAAGATGGGAGCATATATGAGAATATTACATAAATAAAATCGATAAACCTTGGCAAGATATTGGGGTATGTGTGTGTGTGTGTGTGTTGTGTGTGTGTGTGTGTGTGTGTGTGTGTGTGTGTGTGTGTGTGTATGAAAGTGAAGAGTTAAGAATTGTATGTAGGTTACAAATCTAGGTGATATGGGGAAAGGTAGTACCCTCACTTATAACAGGGGAAGTCAAGAAGAGGGGAGGTCTTGATGGAGAAAGATAGTTCAATTTTGGACATGCTGAATTTAAGATGTAGATGGGACAACCAGTTCAAAACGTCTAATGAGATGCTAACTGGAGGTCAACACAGAGGTCAGAGCTGGATAAGTAAATTTGAGAATCATCAGCATAGAGATAATTCAATCCACAGCAACTGATGAAATCACCAAGTGAAACGTATGGAGGGAGAAGAGAAGGCCCAGGAGAGTGAATCAGGGGACCCCTCACCACCATCGTCAGTGGGAGTTATCTGGAAGAAGATCCAGTAAAGGAGACTGAGAAGGAGTGTTCAGGTAGGTAGGAGGAGAACTAGGAGAGAACAGCAGAACAAAAGTCTAGAGTATCAAAGAGGATGATCAACAGTGTCAAAGGCTGCAGAGGTCAAAAAGTGGTCAAGGACACTAGATTTAGCAATTAAGAGATGATTAGTAACTTCAGAGATTGCACTTTCAGTTGAATGATGAGGTCTGAAGCCAGACTGCAAAGTTAAGAAGAGAGAGAAAAGAAAGTAGAGGCACTTAGGGTAACCAGAATTCTCAGAGGTTAGCCACCAAAGGGAGGAGAGATACAGGATGACAGCTAGCAGGGACACACAGATCAAGGGAGGATTTGTTTGCTTGTTTTTTGCAGATGGGGGAGACATAGGTATGTTTTAGGCAGCAGAGAAGCAGCTAGCAGACAGGGAGAGACTGAAGACAAGTGAGACTGGAAATGATATAGGGGGCAATCTGTTGGAGAAGACAGGCTGGAATGGGATCACTTGTGCATGTAAAGTGGTCTGCCTTGGCAAGAAAGACCACCTCACTGTGTGAGACAGAAGTGAAGGAAGAGATGGGGCAGAAGGCATCTGAGTTATGTGAAATGAGGAGGGGAGAAGGAGCTCTCTGCAAATGGCTTTAAATTTTTCAGTGAAATATGAGGCAAAGTTCTCAGCTGAGAGAGGGAGGAAAGGGAGAACCATCCATGGGAATTTTGAGGAGAAATGAAAAGATTTGGAAAAGTTGCTGTGGAGTTAATTACAGAGGTGTAAAACGATTGCCACATGGCAGTGAGGGCCCAGGTAAGTTTAACATAAATTTGTAGTGGGCCCAGTCAGCATGGTTTTCGTGTGTCATCACCCACAATTTGAACGTGAGCTCCTTGAGGGAAGGGACTATCTTGCTTTTCTATTTATAGACCCAGTGCTTGGCAGTCTGCTAAGTGAGCATTTAAATACTTTCTCATCACAAAAGCTTCAATATGACCTATTCAAATAAATTGCTGACACTGAAAAATTGATAAAGGTAAATACACTAATTCTAATTACCACTATTTTTAAAGCAGTTTAATCAATAGAAAGAAGTCATTACAACAAAGAAACTACGAGTTACAGATAAGAAATATCTGATCCTCAATGCCCACCATAAAGACAGAGAAGCCAAGACCAATTTAGAATATAAATTCATTAGAAGACTATTAAGACAATTGTGAATAGTATTATTTCAAAAACAGGGAAAGGCAGGGGAAGAAAAATCAAACCAACAGAAAGCTTGAGATGAGACCCAACTAAGTCAGATCACCTCAAAAGCATTTATTAATTTAAACCAAGATGTGAAGAATAAGATGCAAAACGGAACAGATTGGTCAGCTGTAACTACAGTGCTCTGTGATCACTATCAGTGACAGTGGAAGCATCACATTTTGACTCTAACATTTGATTAAATATATGAGGTGATAGAATTACACTTGAGAAAACAAAGACAAAACAACAGCTAGTTCCTAACATCAGAACAGAACAAAACCCTGATCTAGGTGACAAGTATTAAGGAGATAATCTTCAAGATATCTTAAAGGAGAACGAATCATGAACTGGCCTCCCCAAAAAGGGCAATAAAGAGGATGGACATTAGCATCTAATGTGCCATCTCTATCTCATTTCTATAAAACCTATTCATGTATCATTGAAGAAAACATGTTGAAGGAACAGGCAGGCTTCTGCAAATGATTTTCTACAATGGACCATACCTTTACAGTCACACAGCAGACTGACTTGTAGAGTATATATATGCTACTGCTTGCTTTTTGCTGATTAAAACAAACAAAACAAAAATATCCCAGACCCCACAAAATGACTTACTACAACAAAGTGTTCTTTTAGGAGGTATAACAGGAAATGTGTGGAATTTATTATATACTTTAAAGCAGTATGAAACAGAGATTCATAGTTTCCTATCGCTGCTGAGGACCCTCTAATAGCTCTCTTTTGCCTACTGTTCAAGTCTAAACATTTCAGCCTAACACCTGAGGCTCTTTGTTATGTACTGTCATCAGCAAACCAGTCCGTGGAATTTGGCCCCTCTGCCTAGAACCCAGGCCTCACTCGGGGAATGCCTATGGGGTGACTGATAACCTTATTCTTTGGGTGCAGAATCGGACTGTACCTTTTGTTGCTGACTGGGGACAAAGAATATGGAGAGACTTCATTGCCATCATCAGGACTTGAACGCTTGGTGCTCAGGGAGTACTGAAGAAGGAAATTTGAAATTAGAGAAGGAAAATATACATCCAAAAACTACCAAGTCTTACAGATCTGGAAGATTATCAACAAACAAAACTACAAAAGAGAAACAAAGCAAAAAGAAACTTTAAGTCCATTTCATAGAAACTATGCTACAGCTGACAAACACCCCAATTGTTTTCAATTACTGTCAATGTACTGTAATTGAATGTAAACATCTTGAAATCAGAAAAAGGGTTCCTATACACATCCTGTAACATACATTAGATGATGGCAATGCCATAACAGACCCTTAGAACTACCTAATAAAGGAGATCTTTACAAGCTCTCCCCCCATATTCTAACTAACCCACTAATTTTGCAAAGGAGGACACCGACCAGCACCAAGTCATCACCTTCAGGTCTGTCAGAAGGGCAGAGAAAGAAGAAAATTCCAGAGAGGTGTGACATCACTGTGGAGTATCAAGCCTCTTACCATAAGAGTAAAAAGGGCATTGGATTGACAGTTAAAGACTTGAATGCTAGTCCTGGCTATGCCACCAACCTATCATGTGACCATTTGCAAGTCACTTCCCCTGTCTGGGCCTCAGTGATTCCACATGTAAAACTAAGTAACTGAATTGGATGATTTCAAAGGTTCCTCCTTCCAGCTCTGCCATGTTATATTTTGTGACTGCAAGTAACTCTGATGCAAGAAAAACATGCCTATATGCACTGAAGAAGAGTTGGAAGTGATGCCTTTTTATTTGCTTAAGTCTGCTTCATTCCCATGGAGACCAGAGAAGATGGTGATGTCTCTTTATGAGACACAGTTGCTACATACACTCAAGACCATCACCGTCACTTTCTAGCTATGGAAGAGTTGAATGGGGCAGAGACACGGGGAATAAGGCTTACTGTGTCCTTCTCAGGCTCAAGAATCTTCACTGATTCCCCATTAACTAGCCTCTTAGGAAACCCCCAATCTCTTCACCTAGGCTTTAACCCCCAACTCCCTACAATCTGGTTCCAATGTGCTTTTTCAGCCGTATCTCACATTCGACATCTGAAACTGGACTTGTAGCTACTCTTCAAACCTGACATTCCATTTCCCATCTCTACATTTGCAGAAGTTATCTGCCTAGAATACATTGCTTCTCAGAGTCCTTTTCTTCCTTCCAGGCCTCATGAACATAAGTGCCACGTTTGCAAAGTTTTCCCTGATCTCCCATAGCTGTTGATTTGCGCTCTCCCCTCCTTTCTCTACTCCCCCCGCCCCAGCTCTTCTCCTCAGAGTACCTTGTTATTTCCTTTCTGTATGTATATGGTATCATTCTTATAGAATGCAAGCCCCTTGTGGGCAGGGACTATTTTGAACTGAACTGAACAAGGTGACACTCTACCCATTAACCCTCTGTCCTAGGGCTTCCATATATAAGGTAAAATGTGGCTTACCAACAGCTCCATTGAGCTTGTGGAGACTGCAGACAAACTAAGCTGTCTGGACTGGTATGTGAGTGAGTACAAGCTCATCTAAGCCACTCTATTTAAGCTCTCTCAGTGTGGGCTTCACATCCTATTTAGCCACCCACCAGGAAGCCAGAGCCTATCTAGCAGAGACATCTTAACATGTGCCATGGAAATCTGCATGCTCTTCCCCTCTCCCCCCTTCCCCTCCAGTTCTTGTTCTGGGAACAATAATCAAATAAATTATTATTATTTCTACAGGAAAGAGCATGTCATTCTACTATACCTTGGTTCGATTCAAAATCTCTGAGACTGCTGAGATCAAACCTGATCACTACTTACCCACATGGTTTTTATCTTCCTCTATTAAAATACAGTCTCCTATGGGACAAAACCTATTGTACAATTGTATACATGTATACCGCCAGCACCTAGCACAGTGCCTGGCATGCAGTGGGTACTTAATAAATGGTCATTCATTCAGACATTCTACAATTTCTAACTCTAAATTTTTCCCTCCTAAAACACATGGTAAAGCCACGGGGCAAGACAGCAGATGTAGTCACTGCAGCTGCCTGAACTCACTGTGAAGAGGCTCTTTTTCTCTGGTGTGGAGGGCTGCAGCCTTCGGTCCTCTGTTTGAGGATCCTGGACTTTCTCAATCCCAGCTCCTAGCAGCTCATTCTTTAACAAGGCAGAGTAGGCTAGGCCATCTGTACAGACACAGAATAATGTAAGTGCTATGGCAAAAAAGTAAAGAGGAAAGAAAGCTCCCCTCCCAGGGTGAATAGCAAAGCTCAAAGCTTCAAGATATTCTCACTGATGGCATATCTGCTATGGGTGCTTCCTGGCACATGATAGGGAACAAAGAGTCAAGGTGAGGATTAAGATTCCAACCTTTGCCATTATCTGAAGTGGCATCTTTTGCTTTCCGATTCTGACTAGGTGATTTCTCATTTTCCTGAGGAAGAGAAGAAAAGATAACGGTAAGAATTTATCTTCCTTTCTCCATTTAAGCTATTTATGCATTGGGGTTTCTGGCTATCATTTCAGCTAATTTATTGGATAACACCCCTAGTGGCTGGTGTGATTATCCAAAGGCATCCACTGCTGAAAACAGCAACAAGTGATAACAACAGCTATAAAACACTCACCAGTTCAGTCCCTGAATTTTTTTTTTCTGCCAGTCTAGCCCCTGTCCTATTCTAGGCTATATAGTCTATATTACAACATAGCAACTGTTGCTTATTACCGACCCCAGGCATGCAGTAATCAATAATACTGTCATCTTCCACTTATGATTTTCCCAAAGCTCTTGTACCACTCACATTTATTCTGTGGAAATTAATGCTCCAGTTGGCTCCAGCTCTAGAAGGTATAAAGCGGTCTCCATGTTTGCTGGGAGAAGACATGGGAGAATTGGAAGGTGTCAAAGTTCGTCTCATCTCAGAAACCTGGAATTATAAAATCTGAGTCAGCGTGTAGAATAATTACTATTAAAAAGTTACTATTTCTAATTTACAAAGAGTTTTCCTCACAATCACCCTGGGAAGTAGGCTGTGTAAGCATTATCATCCCCATTAACAGATGAAACAACTGAAGCTCAGAAGGTAAGCAGGTTGTGAGGTCAGAGTCACATGACTAGGAAGTAGAAGACATCTAAATGAGTAACTCTGGGCTGCTTCCTAAAGCACCATATTCAGAGATCCCCTTGCTTTTGTGCCTTTGCTCATACTATTCCCTACTGCCCGGAACGTTGTCCTCCCCAGGATCAGAGGGCTAGGTTATAAAAGGCCTCAGAAGTTTTCTATTCCAGGGCCCTGGAGTCAGGAGGACCCAAGTTCAAATTTGACCTCAGACATTTGATGCAAGTCACTTAACCCCACTGCCTAGCAAAATTTTTTTTAAAAAGTTACCTATTCCAACTCTCTCACTTCATAGGTGAAGAAACCGAAGCATAGAGAAGCCAGGTTACTCAAGGTCACAGAGGTAACGAATAACAGAGCCAGGATTTGAACCCTAGTCCTCTGATTCAAGTTAATTCAACAAAAATTCATTAAGGACCTACACTTCCCCAACTTTCACAGCCACGTTCAGTTGCTACCTCATGTATGAAGTCTTCTTTGATCATCTCAAATGGAAGTGTTTTCTCTCCACTTTGTTCTGCTATAGACTTACTATCTGTAACATACACTTGGTACCTATGATATAGTGCCTTGTGCTATACAGTTATCTGTTTATATTTATTCTCTCCTCTACTTGAGTATATATAGGATATATAGGGTTAAGACCCAATCTCACAAGTACTTTGTACAGTTATTAAAAAAATTTTTGTTGAGGACTAAACAAACAATCTGTAAACTCCTTCTGAGAGGTAAGAATCATAATTTTGGATACTTGATCCATGGAGCTAACTGTATCAAAACAAACCAAACCAAAAAAACCCACCTCTTTCATTATGACTTCTAGTGACAACTGAGAGGTACTGGTATCTTTCTAGTCACTGTACCCAAATTCACCAAATGTAGACATTATTCCTGCCTAAATTGTCTCAGACCACGACTACATGACTAGCTTTTAACCAGGTGGTCTAAGAGTACGTAGCTGCTGTAGTTGCCTATTTAATTTAACCTAAGCAATGCCCATTTAACTGCATTGTCTGTTTTTGCAAAGGAAGCAACTTTTGAAATCCCAAAGGAAGTCTGGGGCACTACCTTAGGCTGTTGAGAGAAAAGCAGTTTTTTTCTGGTTACTTTTAATAGATAAGAAAGCTTGTGTGGAAGATGCCGTGTGGAACAAAAATAAACACTTTACCTAAAACCACAAAGAAATGCTTTTTCATAGTACAGACTCATAGCATGTCAGTGCTGGGACAAAAGAATCCCAGTAAGAGAAAGTGACTTCTTTGGAACACCAAAACAATAAAAACAATGCTCCCTATACAACTCCTTTAGTGTTTCTCTTTACTCCTGGTGTCTGTATTTCAAAGTTTCTTTTCAACATTAGGAATACTTGAAGTTCTCTATTTCATTAAGGCTTTATTCCTCCAACCTCTACCCCCACCCTGAGAATATACTTTGTTTTGCTGGATAAGTTATTCTTGGCTGTTGAGTTCTAGAATATCTTATCCTATACTTTCCATTTTTCTATAGTGATGGCTGCTAAATCTTGTGTGAATCCGACTGTGGATCCTCAGCACTTATATTCTTTTCTTCTTGGCTGCTTGTTAATAACTTTGTTTGACCTGTAAGCTCTGAATTTTTGGCAAGGAGACTCCTGGGAGTTTTCATTTTGGGGTTTCTTTTAGAAGTGCCCAACACTAAGAGACCTGGGCAGTTTTCTTCCATGATTTCTTAAAATATGATAGCTAGGTGCTTTTTTTTGGTCATGGCTTTCAGATAGTATGATGAGACTTAAAGTCTCTCTCCTTAATCTGTTTTCCAAGTCAATTTTTGTTTTATATGAGCTGACTTTTTTTTTCTATTTTTTTCAATCTTTTGACTTCGTTTTAATATTTGTCTCGTGGACTAATTGTCTTTTGTTTGGTTCACTCTCATTTGCAGGGACTCTGGTTTTGTACCTCTTGTGCTAAGCAGTAAATTTTCTCTTTTTACTTTTTGGTGAGGCAATAGGGGTTAAGTGACTTGCCCAGGGTCACACAGCTAGTACGTATCAAGTGTCTTAGGCCACATTTGAACTCAGGTCCTCCTGACCTCAAGGCTGAAGCTCTATCCACTGTACCACCTAGCTGCCCCTATTTTCTCTTTTTAAATCTCTCCTCCTTTTTAAATCTCTCGTGTCTTTTCCTATTCTTTCCTCTATCATTCATTTCACAGTATTTTAAATTTTGAAAAATTCTTGCATCATTTCTTCAAAGAATTCCAATTTATCTTGTGGGCAAGCTATGTTGCTCTTTGAGGCTTTATTTGGAAGTATTTTGAAGTTGTTCTCCTGTTGGTTTGTGCCTTAGGCATCTCTGATATAACACTCTTTTTGTTTAGTCATTCTTCCAGCAATCTCTCTGGGCAACCTAAGTGTTGCTGGCCTAGCTGAGAGCTCTGGGGGCTAAGCCTATAACCTCAGACCCTTTGGGAGATCACTGTGTCCCATACTGAGAGCTCTGGACACTGATTCCTTGCTCCACACCCTCAGGGAGGACTGCTGGCCTGGGACTAGAACTAAGTCTGTGATCAGTTCAGGGTGTCCCCACGTTGCTGGCCTAGTTCAAAGTTCTGGGTGCCAAGTCCATACTCCTAGACCTTTGAAAGACCCCATGTTACTGACCTAAGCCTGGAACTAAGCCTGTGATCAGTTCTTGACAACTCTGCACTACTCTTTTAGCTAGCAGCTCTGGGCACTAAGCTTGTGATCCTGGCCCAGCTGCTTCACAGTTTCTACCCTGGTCAATTGCTTATAGGTTGAAATTGTTATCTTGGACTGGACAGATGACCCATTGCAGTTTGTCCTTCGAATTCCCAATTAATAATTGGTCTGGTGTTCTTATTAGAGCAGGCATGGTGGCCTTCACAGCTTACTAACAATACACCAGTGTGACTATTCATATCTTTTGTCATCTTTGCCTATTTGCAAGGTATGAGACGAAATCAGTTATCTTTTTCATTTGATGCAGTGAATAGAGTTGCTGGGCCTGGAATCTGGAAGACCTAAGTTCAAATCTGTCCTGGGACACCAGCTGTGTGACCCCAGGAAAGTCACTTATCCTTTGCTTGCCTCAGCTCCCTCAACTGCAAAATAGGGATAATAATAACATCTACCTCATAAGGTTATTTTGGGGATCAGATGAGATATTTTTATAAAGTGCTTAGTACGGTAACTGGTACACATGGTAGGTGCTTAATAAATGCTTGTTTCTCCCCTTTCTCTCTTCTTATTCTGCCATTTTGGCATGGGCTCTCATTTTCCAAATCTTTCCTTTAAATGCTTTCGTTTCTTTTATAAAATCATTTAAAAAGACCTTAAAAAAACCCCTCTTGTCTAATTTCTTCCAGAAATTCTGCTCTTTATGGTGGGAATCTTTTTTCAATTGTTTACTCATTCTTCTAGCCTTACTTCTTAAATTGAAAATTTGCATTAGGACCAAACTCTGCACTTCTGGAAAGAATGTCTGAGCCTTGCTTGGTTCTGGTTTGTATTCTCTTGGGTTCTGCTGCCTTCTCTACAGATTGAATGCTGTGTTCTCCAAAGATTTCAAGGGTGACTCAGGCTGGGGGGCCTGCAAGCTTTTAATGATCTCAAAGATATCTGATCTAGGGCAAAATGTTATCACTACTCTTCTAGTTTGAGCTTTGCAAACTCCTGATCCCATTTTGGGTATGGGCAAAAACACTGTGTAAACTTCAGTTTGAGTTCCAATAGATTGTTGCTAGCCTTAGGCACCATCAGCAAGCTGGAAGTCTGGTTCTAAAAAAGGTCTAAGTTTGGAGCAAAAGAATTGTAGGAGTCCTTGCTCTGAAGTCCTTCTTGGTTATTAAGTCGTAGACTTCAGACTGGGCTGGGTGATGAATTCAAGACCCAGTTCCAGGAACAGAGCCACACAGTTGCTGCTTGTTTCTGTTTCTGCTCCTTGTTCAGTACAAAGCTTCAGGTCCATAAAAGTTCCTTCCTTGATCTGTCACCTCAAGGCACAAATCTCCATGCTGATCTGTGCCTCAGATCAGGGGTACAAGTAACAGAGCTGCTAGGTGGCACCTGTTTCTGATCCTGCACAGTGTTAGGTCTATGCTTGATCTGGGATCTATTCTTGCCCTAGTGCAAAGCCAAAGTCACCACAAGAAAGTCTGGACACAGTCTGTGAATGTCTGGCTGAAGAACTAGACATATTGTACACAAACCTTTGGCTTGAGAACTAAAACTGTGAGTGAAGTTTTTGAAATCATAAGAAATTTTAATTCCCTTTCTCTATGTTGAGAACCAATGTTTCTATAGTTAACAAAATGGTCAAAGCTCAGGGTGAGGTCCTATCAGGGATAAAAGCAAATGCCCTACAAAGCTCACTATCCAGGTTAAAGAAATGATAAACACAAACACAACCTCCTTCCCCAAGAGTTACATACTTCCAAAGCCCCTGCACTTAAGCATCTTTCATTCATAAGAAAACAATTTCTGGTGGCATTTCTTTTCTCTATTCCTTATTTGCCCCAGCAAAAGGTAGGGCTATCTTCCAACCATTTTGAAGAACAATTTGGAACCATGCCCAAAGGGCTACAAAAATGTGCATACCCTTTGATCCAGCAATAGCACTTCTAGGGCTATATCCCAAAGAGATCAAACAAATGGGAAAAGGACCCACACGTACAAAAATATTCATAGCAGCTCTTTTTGTGGTGGCAAAGAACTGGAAATTGAGAGGATGCCCATCAATTGGAGAATGGCTGAGCAAGCTGTGGTATATGAATGTAATGGAATACTATTGTGCTATAAGAAATGATGAACAGGCTGACTTCAGAAAAACCGGCAAAGACTTACATGGTCTGATGCTAAGAGAAGTGAGCAGAACCAAGAGGACTTTGTACACAATAACAGCCACATTATGCGATAACTAAGATTGTTAAACTGAACCCTTCTCAGCATTACAAGGATCTAACACACCTCCAGAGGCCTTGGGATGGAAAGTGCTGTCCACACCCAAAGAAAGAACTATGGAAGTTGAATTGCTATCACTTATTTTTACCTTCTGTTGAATTTTGTTTCATCTTTCTGATGGTTCCTCCTATTGGTTTTAGTTTTTACTTACAACTTCACTAATGTGAAAATATGTTTAATAGGAATGTAAATGTAAAGCCTATATCAGATTGTGTGCTGTCTTGGGGCGGGTGAGGGGGAAGGAATGGGGGAGAAAAATTTTCAACTCAAAAGCATATGGAAGTGATTGTTAATAAATCAAAATAAATTAATAAAATTTAAAAAAAAAGTTAAGGCTATCTTTAGTTTCTCAAACTTTACACACTGGGGTACAATTTTTGAAAACCCTGACAAAACCCTCAGAAAAATTAGCATATTACATTGGTGCCTTTAGGGAGCTTAGTTTAATGGAAGGTGCATTTGGTTTGAAAGTCAAGAAAGCTGGCTTCATATACTGGCTCTGTCACTTATTCTCCATGTGACTAGGACGTCAGCCTCAGTTTCTTCATGTTTAGCATAAGTAGAATCAAGGGAGTTTAGAGGTTAGAAAGTGGAACATATATAGAAAAAGAAGTATCTTGGAAAAGAGTAAATTTCTCAGAAGAAGCCGAATCACATGACAGGGATACTACAGAAGGGATTTGTTTCATGGAGGAGCTGGACTAGAGGAATTCTGAGACATCTACTCTAATGGAGAATCTATGGTTCTGTGAGCTACCACAATGCAAAGAAAACAACGATGATCTAAAAAGCTCTTGGAAGACAATCACTTTCAATCATCTTCCAGGATGCTATAAGATATAATGCAACTATGAAAAACTAATGTTGTCTGTGAGCCTGGAACAGATCTAATTAATTTGAGTCAAAGCAAAGACAAGCAGCCTCTAAAATTCTTTTAAGTCACAATATGCTGCTGTGAAAATGAAAATGGGGGCAACCAAAAGCCAGAATAGAGGCAGGAAAAAAGACTTAGGGAAAACAGATAAGGATTTATGGGGTCTGAAAACATAAGACCACTAAAGAAACAAAGTCAAAGGAGTAAGTTAGTAATCAAAATTTAAAAGGGCTCTCCAAAAATGTAGTTGGCCATCTGAAAGTTTCCTTGAACAAAAAAAATTACAAAACGTCATCTTCACTTCAATTTAAAAACATTTATAAAGCACCCAATATTTATAGAGCTCCATGCTAGCTAAGTACAAAATGTAGATAAGACATGATTTTCTACTTTCCCAGATTTTTGGAATAGAGTAGTGCTTAAGGATGATTTTCTAAGACATCTCTTGTATCACTCCTTTATTCTCCATTCCCAATACCATATCACACAAGCTGTCACTGTCTCACCTCTAGCTAGAGAGAGGATTGTAGAATATTAGAGTTGCAAGAGACCTGGAAAGATTATTTAATCTAACAACTCCTTCATTTTCCAAAGGTTGAATCTGAAGACAAGAGAGAAGAAATTACTTGCCAAAAGGTCACGCAAAAGCCTCAAATTCACAAAATCTTAGAGTTAGAAGAGATCTCAGAAATCATCTAGTCCAACCATACTTGAAAATGAATCCTCTCTAGGGGCAGCTAGGTGGCACAGCGGATAGAGTTCCGGCCTTGGAGTCAGGAGGACCTGAGTTCAAATATGACCTCAGACACTTGAAACTTACTAGCTATGTGATCCTGGGCAAGTCACTTAACCCCAATTGCCTCACCAAAAAAGAAAAAAAAGAAGAAAAGAAAATGAATCCTTTCTACAACAGTCTGATGGTCATTCAGTCTTTGCTTACAGAATTCCAGTGATAGAGAATCTATTTAGGTAGCCCACTCTTCAGTATAGCTATCATTTTATCAAGCCAAAATGTGCCTTTTAGCAATTAGACTGTAGCCTCTTAGGTTAAAGAGAACAAGTCTAATTTTCCACATCACAACTCTTCAAACACTTGAAGACAGCTATTGTGATCCCCTCCTCTCCCCCACTCAATTCCCCAAGTCTTTTCTTCTTTAGGCTAAGCATCCTTAGTTTGTTCAATTAGTGCTTAGATGGCCTATTCTCTAGTTCTTTCATCATTCTAGGCATCTTCCTCTAGACATGCTCCAGCTCGTTAATGTCCTTTCTAAAATGAGGCTCCCAGAATTGCACATAGAACTTCAGACAGGTTAGGAGTTAAAGATACAGCTTTTAATAGCTTAATGTGAGGAAAAACTTCCTATTCATTGGCTATCCAAAAAATGGAATGGGCTGTCTCAGTGGGTAGTAGGTTTCCCTCACTAAAGGTCTTTAAGGTAAGAACAAGTGACTGAAGTGACTGTTTGTCAGGGATTCTATTCATAGGATTTATGCAGGTAGAGGCAAGTATAGAAAATCTGCTCAGCCATTTGACCTGTGGGGTCTCTTCTAACTCTAGGATTCTGGGCAATCTTGGAAAGGTGACATCTTATATTGCTTGCATATACCTCACTCCCACTCCCACAGTACCAAACATGACTGATAGTGTTTAAAGCCATATGTTCACAACAGTAAGTGGATGACTGGTTTTCTGCCATTTCTTTACTTTTGGCAGCTATCCTGAGACCTTCCTCAGTAACTCATGGAAGTTTCACATGGCTGTACTGTGGAAATCAGCATTCCCATATCCCTTTCTCATCCATTTGTTTGCTTGTAGGAAACATTTTCATTGCTTATTTTCCCTTTATGTTATCCACATTAATTAGTTCTCCTGGATTTACTTTGCAGTTTTCATGTTTCTTTGGTTTAGGTTTTTAGTTTCTTCAGGCCAGGACCAGGTTGGTGTACAGACATTTGGTAAAATCAGCCTGGGGTACAAAATTGGCAAAAGAATGTGATGGGCTGGCAGTGGGCCAACTAAGCTAGAGAAGGCATGGAAAGATCGATGGACAACTTACACAAGGCATTGTGTTTTCATTCTGGATGTTGATCTGTCGAAGGAGACGCCTTTCATAATCTTGGTCCATGGTGAATAGGTGGGAGCTGTGGCAGCCTTCAGACTCAGGGCCTTTGATTCATGAGGTCCAATTGTTAAAGTCAGTCTGCAGCAACAAGGAAGGAAAGAGAAAAATATCAAGCAATACTATGTTAACTTCGCCAACTTCCACTCAGGAGGCTGAGGACAGAGAATCTTCCTATAACATATTCAGATAATAAATATGCTTTTTGATTGATTCAAAGGTCAGTGTCATCCCTATCCTGTAGCCTAGTGTAGCAGAAGGAAGAGCAGACTACATTACAGGTTGTCAGGAAGTAAATGCTGTGCAAATCAATCAACAGCATTTATTAAAGGCCTACTATGTGCCAGGCACTGTGCTAAGTACTAGGGATATAAAGACAAAATAAATGAAACAATCCCTGCCCTCAAGGAGCTTATACTCTACTGGGAGAGATAACACACACAGAACAAATACAAGGTAGATGGAAAGGGTATTAAGCATTTGGGGGAAATCAAGAAAAGGTTTCATGTAGAAGTTGGTGCTTGACCTGAATCTTGAAGTATTCTCTAAGGCAGAGGTGAAAAGCGAGTGCATTCCTGGTATAGGAGATATAGCCAGTGCAAAGACATAAAGATGGGAGATGGAGTGCCATGTGTAAGGAACAAGGAGAAAGACAGTTTGGCTAGACCACAGAGTGTGGGAAAGGGAATAACTTATAAGAAGGTTGCAAAGATAGGACTGGGAACAGTTTATGAAAGGTTTTAAAAGCCAAACAGGAGTTTATATTTCATAAATCCAAAAGCAATATTATATTAATGAGCTATTTTTTATGAGGCTGCTGTTGTCAAGGATTCAACAACAGCTGTTTAGTTATACTATTTTGGTTGAGCTTCCTTCATTATAGTAAGACCTGGGTGACTATTTTAGTTTTTAATCCTAATTACCACTTGTCATTTAAGTATCCATATTTGTGCTAGGTGTTCTATCTAGTACAAAAAAGATATCATCCCTACCTTTATCCAACAATCTGACAAACATTTATTAAGCACTTGCTTTGTACATGCTGGGGATACAAGGACAAAATGATAAAAGTCTTTGCCCTTGAAGACATACACTCTATGAGAGAACTACAACATGTAAACTGATAATTTTAAGAGGAAGCAAGCACTAACAATGAAGGGGAGCAAGAATAACTTCCCACAGATTCTAGGCACAAAGGACAGCCTGTGCAAATTCATGAAAACAGCAGAGATGAAGTGCTAAGTTTGGGGATAGCAAGTAGGTAGAACACAAAATGCTTTCTGGGGAAAATATGGAATAAGTCTGGAAAGGTAGACGGGAGCCTGATTGTGAAGGGCTTTAAAAGCCAAGCTGAGGAGGAGCCTCAATATTTATGCTTGAAGAAGAGGAGCAAGGTGGGATATATTCAAACAAAGTTGCATCATGACTATGTCCTATGGTTTTCCACCTATATATGCTTTTGTTCTTCTCCTCTGACTTTTTTTCCCCCACTTCTTCAAACAAATTCCTAGCCAATTCTTCAAAGCTCAACATAGAAGCAAGTCACTTCATTAAGAAGCTTTCCTTAATATCCCTGTTTAGAAAGAATCTCATCTTCCTTTGAACTAGGTATCAGTTTCCTAAACTGAAAAATAAAGGAGAATGGACGAGATTATCTCTGAAGTCTCTTCTGGCTTTAAATCCCATGACCTCATACTTTATGATTCCTCATGCTCATTTCCCATCTTCCCTACTAGACTATAAGCTCCAAAATCTGGACAAGGAATAGAGGTCCTATTTACCACTTTATTGCCCTTCTTAATCAAACAATACCAAGAATGGTGCCTAGCACACATTATCTAGTACAATCCCATCATTTGTCACTCAATTAATATTCAATGAATTAGATCTGTGTATACACACACACACACACACACACACACACACACACACACACACACACACACAGTCTTGGAAATCTGACCATTGGTTTCCACCAATAAATAAAATTTGAGCTATTCCCCAATTTAGATTGGCTGAGGGTGTTTTCAGGTTTCTTGAAACATTCATTTTTTTTTCTCTTTTAACCCACACCTGCATACTCATGCTATTTTTCATATTATCAGACTGCAAGAGTAAAAGCTTTAAGAAAACCATGGCTCTCAGATATTTTCCTTCTACAAATCCTCCAGAGAGCTTCTGTGAGCCCCATTTGTTTCATCAACCTTCTCCCTAAAATAAATATAAGGCTACTACTCCTCTTTTTAGCATTTCAGTAGATCTAGGTACAGGGGTGGGGAACTTCCGGCCTCAAGGCCACACATGGTCTTCTAGGTCCTTGTGTGCAGCCTTTTGATTGGGTCCAAGTTTTGCAGAACAAATCCTTCTATTAAGAGGATTTGTTCTGGGAAGTTTGGATTCAATCAAAGGACTTCACTTGAGGTCCTAGAGGGCCACATGTGGCCTTGAGGGCACAGGTTCCCCATCCCTGATCTAGGAGAAAGCAATGGAGATAAACTTACTTCAAAAATTATTACATTTGCTAACAGTATTCCTCCTCCTAATTCACTTAGGCACTCTCTTGGATGCTTATAAACTGCTATTTTTTCCTAACTACTCTGACAGGAGGATAAGGGTTTAAGGGGAAGTAGGATAAAGGCAAGAATATTTGCCTTTAAAGGTAGAATAGTTTAAAGGAGGAAGACAAAGTCAGAATGGCTCTCTCTGGGTTGGGAGTGGGGCAGAGGTGGGATTTAGGATAGAGGAGAACTGAGATAGAACAGCTGTGATTTGGGACAGATGACTTATGCTTGAAGACTGAGGCACAACAGCTCAAGTTAGGGGGCAAAGGAAGGCAAGGTTTAGGCTATTAGTTAAATGTCATTATAGCAAACGCTAAGAGACTAGAAATACTTTTGTAGTACCCAAACTGGGTCATAGAAAATATGCTTAAACTAATTATGTGGGACATCAGCCACGGCTTAGACAATCTTTTTTTATTATACTAATATTTCCAGTATAATGATATTTCCATTAACACTTGCCTAAGGAATGTAATAGAAAGGTTACTGGGCTTGGAGTCATAAAACCTGGCTTTGAGAGCCAGCTGTCGTGTCATTTGGCTGTTTGGACAAGAATAGGTAAGTCACTACACCTCAGACTCTTCATCTATAAAATGGAAATAATAATCACTCTCTTTCACTAAAAAGGATGTGAGGACGGCACTCTATAGCTCACAGAGTGCTAAACAGTATAGGACCTATTATCACATAACATAGTAGAAAGAACAATAAATTTGGAGTCTAAGGACTTGAGTTCAAACTCAGGTTCCTTACTATCAATGTGTCTTTGGGCAAGCCAAGTCTCCTTTCTCAGCTTTGGTTTCTTTATGTGCCAAATATGATTCTTGTGCTGCCAAGAGGCAAAGAGAACTTTGCATTTTGGACCCACTTCACTGAACCATTTGTTTTATGCACATGAAAAACACTTGTCTGCACTTTCTTATATGTGAAGTTTGACCTAAGGAAAGAGAATTCTTTTGTTGTGATAACCCTAAAACTACAGGTGGCAATCAAGGATAAGGCCAAAGATGATAAAATTAGCTCTTCTGGGACACCTCTCACCTACATGCCTGGCCTTTAATTTTATTACAACTATGATCTTGAAAGGACTGTGACAGTAGTTAAGATAGCAATGTAACTAAACAAAGGAAGGACAATAATCCACAAAAAACACTAATGCACTTTCATCTCCCTAATGGCTGGCAATTATGGGAGTACTATATCATGACAAACAAGGGAACAAGCACTGGGGTGGAAAAACTCTGGATTTAAAGTCAGAAAAACTGGAACTCAAGTACCATCTTTGCCACTTAATCTATTATGACCTTGGGTGACTCAAAACCTCAGTTTTCTCATCCATAAAATGGAGATATACTGGCACTACTGACATTATAACAGTGAGGATCAAGTGAAACAACTAATATATATAAAGAGCTTCAAAACCCATTGCTGGACATCTTGCAGTCCCTCTGGGCCTTGGTCCCTTCTTCTGTACACTGGATCTCCTGACACCTCCCTATGCAACAACAAAGGTGTACTATTACAACAAAGTAAGATAAACACTTGAGTTTATCAAAAAAGATACTATATTTAAAGGTGCCAGACATGGTACTCTCCATGCTTTCCTATGTGGAGACAGTTTTGTTTAAGTGAAAGAATCCTAGCTTGAGACTCAGGTAACTTGACTTCTATATTCACTATCATGATACCTGAAAAACTGTATGACTTTAGATAAGTCACTTAAACTCCCAAGGCCTTAAAAATTTCATCTATAAAAGAAGGAAGTTGTGTTGTATTACCTCTAAGGACCCTTCCAGTTTAATAACCCTCCTTGTAAGCCAGAGGATGAATTGGACATCTCTATAGTACACCTCTAAGGTACTTACTTGGAGTTCTAAATTAAAGAACACTGTTAGAATTTAGGACTTAACAGAAAAGGTTAGGGAGGGGCTCTGTAGTTTACGTTCCAGACCTCCCATTAAAGGTGCACTGATGGAACACTACAGTACAGAATGTGTACAAATACACTCCACCGAGTTATTGCCTTAATGTGGCAGAAAATGTTGGACTTTAAAATCAGGAGATCAGGATTGCAGTTCTGTCTCTGCCTCTTATCAGCTATGTAACCTTGGGCAAATCACTTCACTGGGCCTCAGTTTTCTTTCCTATACAACCAGGATAATAATCCTCCTCAAGGATCTTGTGAAGAAAACACTCAGTAAATTTTATGTAGTCTTCTAGTTCATTTATTCATAGAGCAGGAAGAGAAATTTTAGTCCTTTAGAGGTCATTTAGTTCAATCTTTTCATTTTACAAGGCCCAGAATGGTTAAATGACTTGCCCAAGGTAACACAATTAGTTTGTGGCAGAACTGAGACCTGAACTCAGATCTCCTGATTCTCAATAGAGAATTCTTTCCACTGTACCACACTGCCTCACTGGATCACGTCCAAATTCCTTGGTCTACTTTTCAGTACCTTCCAGAGAATAGTGCATATCTATCCTTCCAACCTTATCTTCCACTATTATCTAACATAAAATATTTTGCTTCAGTCAGGCTGGTTCACCATATGCTATGCTCATTCTTGACTCCTTGCCTTTATGAATTTTACAGGCTGGTTTACAGAGATAAGTGTCTATCCATATAACCAGGACCAGTGTTATTTACCCAGGGCCAGTGTACTTAGCATGGCCCAGTAGTACAAAATGTTTTCCTCTTTAAAAATTTCTTCTCTCTACATGTAAAACAGGACCACTGGCTAGAAAAGAGATGTTTGCAAATCACTAGGCCTACGTTCACATAAAATCTGGCTATGAAATTCCATTTGTTTTCTTTGTACTGGGAACCTACCCATATTCTACAAGAAGCCTTTCTCAGGTCTCAATCTTAGTGCCTTTGCTCTAAGACTACTCTCATTTCATTCTAGCTATATCTTGTTTGTACATGGTTGTCTGCATGTTGCCTCTCCCATTAGACTGAGGTGTCTGAGTATGGGGGCTATTTTTTTTTCCTTTCTTTGTATCCCCAGTGCTTGTCATGTAGTAGGCACTTAATTGCTAACTAACTTATTTAAAAGTATCATTAGAAACTGAATGAATGCTTTTGTCTCAGGCAAGATGATCCTCTGCTCTAAGGCTAATACTAATACTACATACTACTTTCTCTAAGTATCCTATTCCCCAAATGGATATTTAAAGTCAATTCAAATAAACATTTATTACACATGGTAACTGTAAGAAGTAACATGGAAAACCACCAGGCCTTACCACTGCTCCCTAAGGTCTTCTAGGCCTTATGATCTCCCCTATCTCTATACCCTACAGTTCCCTGGCACTGTCAACAGACCTACTTATATAACCTAAAAAAAAGCAAACACTGGGTTTTGCCATTTCACCCCGCCCCCACACACACACACATCCCAGCACCAATGGCTGCACCCTTAGGACTTCTGTGCCTTTCCATCTGCCCTGCCACCAAATTCCTTTGTGTGGTCTCCCCTATTCATATGTGAGCTCCTTTAGAGCAGAAATTGTCTTGCCTTTTCTTTTTGTATCCCTAGTATACAACATGTAAATACTTTTTCATTTATATTCATAAGAAAAGGTATAAAGATTAAAAGACATGGTTCCCACTCTCATGAAGCTCACAATTTGGTAAGGAAATATAACACATGGAAAGTTAATTAGAGATGGGCTTGGATCTGGCATTGCATTGTGCTGGCATCTGAACAGAGCTTTAAAGGGCAGGTAGATTTTAAACAGGCAAATCAAGGAGGAAGGGCATTCTAGACCAGGGTGGGGAACCTGCAGCCTTGAGGCCACATGTGGCCCTCTAAGTCCTCAAGGAGCCCTTTGACTGAATCCAAACTTCACAAAACAAATTCTCTTAATAAAAGGATTTGTTCTGTAAAACCTGGACTCAGTCAAAAGGCCACACCCAAGGACCTAGAAGGCTATGTATGGCCTTAAGTGTGGCCTTAAGGCCGAAGGTTCCCCACCTCTGCTGCAGGCAAATGGAGCAAAGATACAAAGACACAAAAGCATAGGAAGACTTAACAGTTCAATCTGGCTGAAATATACTGTGAGGAAAAACATGAGATTCAATTCACTAAACATTTGTTAAGTCCCTAGTACCAGCTAGACTCTGAGGAAACAAAGACAAAGATGAAAACAGTCTTGCCCTCAAGGAACTTACATTCTACTGAAGAAAAACCAATGATACAGTAGAAAGATAAGCAAATAAAAAATAGTTTGAAGGAAAGGAAGCATAATTAGGGGCAGCAGGAAAGGCTTGTAGGAGGTGGCATTTGAGCTAAGTCTTGAATACAGTTAGGGATTCTAAGAGGAGGAGAGAGGAAGAAGAGAATTCCAGACATGTGGAACAGTCTGTGCAAAGGCATGGAGGCAGGAGACAGAATGTCATGTGAGAGAACAGCAAGTAATCCAGTTTGCCTATAACACAGATGAAATGACTCTAGAAAGATAGGTTGTAGTCAGACTGCGAAGGGCTTGAAGTGCCAAGCAGAGGAGTTCATTTTATCATAAAGGCAACAGGGAGCCACTGATGAAACCAGAAAATAGATGTTTTGGAATATCAAGCTAAAGGAACAATTCAGACCTCAGACCCCCAAAATTCTTTGGTTGCTTATACTTCTCCTCTTTCCACCCACCCCCGACTAAATTGTGAATTCAATGAGGATAGAAACTCTATCCTAAAACCTTAAAACCTGTATGTATAATTCTTCCTTGGACATAGCAAATGGAAAATGAACTGAGTTTAGAACTGAGTAAGAGGTGAATAGGCTAGACTGCATTTGGAAAATTGCACAATCATAACACGCTACTTACTAGAGCATACGTTCATCTCTTTAGCACCAATATTCTTCTGGTGATGCCATACGGCTGCAGATGACAGAACAGCATGACCACAGAGAAGATATGGAAAGAATGTATATCTGTATCAGTAAAGGGAGGAGTATGGCACTTAAATACTTGCTGAATTAAAATGAAAGATAAGCTCTTTCAAGTAAGTGAACCTCATTCCTCAGTTTTCACAATCTGAAGAGATTTTTTTTCTCCTAGTAAATTCTTAAGTTAGACATTACCACCCTTTTCTTAACCAAAGATCATATTACTCTATGGGTTAGGTAAAAAAAAAAATTGCCAACAGTTACTTGGCTTTGGAACATGCTCTCCTCCCGGCCCAACTCAAAGTCTACACAGCTCTGGATTTTGGCAACAAAATAAACTGAATAACAGCAACACAAACAAAACAAAACAAAACAAAACAACAAAAACAAAACCAAAAAACTAAATAGCAGAAACAATTCAACTCAACAGTCAGAAACAAGTACAGCATTAATTAATTGCCAGATACATGCTAGAGAGGTTAAGAGAGAGGAGTGGGTACTGTTTTCGAGATTCCATAGAAATCATTTTACTATTTTTTTTTTAAGGCAGCAATGATGCAGTGGAAAAAAATGCTGGATTTGGTGTCATGGGATCTGGAGGGTATACATCTCAGTCCTGCTACATATTACCTGTGTAAATAGGACCAAATCACTTAAGCTTTCTAAGGCTATTTCCACATCTTAAAATAAACAGGTTAGACTAGATAGCTGTGAAGGTTGTAGTTCAAGTCTTACCACCTCACTTCACAGATAAGTAAAAACTGAGGATCTACCAAGAAAGCAAGCTTGTAGGCTGGTACAATCAACAAAGACTTCACAAACACCTCTCAAATCAAGCTATAATCCACTAGGATTTTTTGTTTGTTTTGTCTTTGTTAAGGCAGCATGGTATAGTGGAAAAAATTATATGACATTATGGAACCTGGGTTCAAGTAACTGTAACAGCTGGGATTAGTCTTTTCCACTACAATAATAGCTGCTTCCTGGGAGGAGGGAGGTACAATGCAAAAATAATTAAAACACAGTCTCTGCCTTCATGGAACTTACAATCTAGGGGACAGAAGGGTGGTAGTAGTGGTTGTTTCACAATACTTATGCAAATAGACTGTACCAGCCAATTATTATAATGTAAAACAAGGAGACTATGAGAAAATTACAAAGTACTTCTTCAAGTTCAGAGGAAGGAAAAAAATTTTCTGAGTGAGATGTTAGAGAAGGCTTCTGGAGGTAGAACTGCAGATCTGAGTCTTGAAGTAACCTAGGTAAGATTTTTTAAAATCAAAGTGCAGGAAGAAAGAAAGGGAGAGAACAGGCTAGGCATAAAGAAATAGTGTGACCAAAGGCACAGAAATAGTAATAATCCAGATATGTACCAAGAACACAAGTAGTTTGCTTTAACTGAAGCACAGTAAGTAGAAAGGCGAGGAAGTAATGAGAGAAAAGTCTGAAAGGCAAGCAGTTGTGAAAGTGTTGAGGATCCTAAATGACAGACTAAGTAGTTTAGATTTTATTCAATCAATGATAGAGCCATCACTTAGAGGAGTAGTCATTTAGCCTTTAGCTGAACAGATAAGTGATTCTTATCACACACAAGGCACTTCACCCACAATAAAGTCTAGGCACACCAGTCTTCTCACTGCTCCTCATACACATCATACTACTTCTTGTTCTAAGTGTCAGTGTATTGCCTGACTCCATGCTTTGTATGCTCTCTCTCCTCATCTCTGACTCTTAGAATCCCTAATTTCCTTCAAGGATGAGCTTAGTCACCTACCTTTTTACACGAAGCCCTTCCTGATCCCCTCAGTTACTAGTGTCTTCCCACAAAAAAAAAAAATCATGTCTCATTCCTCCCTTGACAGAATGTTAACCTCCTTGAGAGTCAGGGACTATCTAACTTCTATCTTTGTACCCCAGTGCCTGGCACACAGAAGATGCTTAAAAAATGTTTGTTGACTGAGGGAAGAAGCCCATTTCATTATAGAAGAGCTTTAATTGGGTTAAAAGAATATGGAGATCTAAAGTCAAAAAGCCTAGTTTCAAAACGCTAGCTCTACTACTTACTAGCTGTGTGACCTTAACCTAGCAAGGTTTCATTTTCTTCATCTGTAAAATGATGGGGTTGGGCTAGATCAGCAGTTCTCAAAGTGTGGCCCAGTGTTTTAAGGGGTCCTCAAAGTCAAAATTTTTTATACTAAGACATTTTAATTTCAAATATGGCAAATATATATAGATATAAAATCCACATAAACAAACACTCTTTGAGGTCTACGATAATTTTTAAGAGTGTAAAGGGATCCTAAGACCAAAAAGTTTGTGAATTGCTAGACTAGAAAATCTCCCTTCCAGCTCTAAACTGTTCCTTACATTGTGCTGAAATCTGCCTCTAACTCCCACTCATCAGTCCTAGTCAGACTTCACCACAGAACTAGCACCTCTTTAGAATGCAACTGAAAAACACACACACAGTCTTCATAAAACAGTTCAGTTAGGAAGGAAATAGAGTAGAGCTCCCTAGGGCTAAATTCACACTTCTTGTCAATCAATGAAACAGTTGAGCACAGCTAGTACTTCAGATCCTTTAGTTCAGGATAAGGTCCCTTTGGCAAATGGCAAGAAAGCCAAGGGGATTCATGAATATTGTGCTGATGTGGTAATGATTACCATTCAGTACATCAAGTTCAAGGAAGCTGTTGGGGGAAAAAAATAAGCACTTAGTTGCTATAGAAGCATTCTGGGTTGCAGCTGGAAATAATTTTTTAAAGGCCTTGAAGGGAGGTAGAAACATTCAGAGATGTGTTTCTAGTTCCAGTATCCTTTTGCATCCAGCTTTAACCCTGTCTGTGCCTGTGGTCGCCACTGATGGAAGAGGAATAGTGTTCTGTGAACCTTAAAGAACTATATAATATGTATTCATATTCTAATTCTTTTCTGACAGAAACATTAAATGGCAACTCTGCCAGGGATGGAAACTGTAACACAAGCTTGAGGGTAGAGGGAATGGCTTTCAAGACCAACCCACCATTTGTGGACCCCTGCAGTAGAGCACAAGGCAGCTCTGCTTTTTTCTGAATGAATGCATTTACTTAGCACCTTAGGGATAAAGGTAAGGTAAGGAGGGAATACCATATGTAAGGTACAGAAAGAAGGCCAATTTGGCTGCACCTTAAAGTGCAGAAAGGGAAAAAATGTGCAGTAAATCAGGAAGTATAGGTTGGAGCCAGATTGTGAATAACTTTAAAAGAGAAATAGAGGAATCTGAATTTTACTCTACAGGCAATACAGTGAGCCAGTGAAGGTTTTTGAGAAAGGGGTGTGAAATCGTCAGACCTGTGCTTTAGGAATATCACTCTCGCAGTTTTGTGGAGGAGATAAGAGAAACTTGGAGGCAGAAACCTCAATTAAGGAACAGGTAGTGCCTAATGGCCAGAACCAGGGTATTGACTACGTGAATAAAGAGAATAAAGAGAAGTGGAAGAAATGCTACGGAGGTAGAATCACTAAGGCTTGTTTGTAGATAGAAAGAGAAGAACTAAGGATGATTCTGAGGTTGTGAACCTGGGTGTTGGTCAACAGAAACAGGGAAGTTAGAAAGAGAAGTGGGGGTTTGGGGAGAAAGATGATGAGTTCTTTTTTTTTACATGCTAACTTAGAAATGTCTATGGAATGTCCAGTTGGAAATATTCAAAAAACATTTGGAAATATGGAACTGGAACTCTAGAGACAATACAGGGTAGATATATAGATCTGGAAATTACTTGCATGGAGAAGAGAAATGAACCTTTTGGAGTTGATGAGGTTAACATGAATGTGCAGAGGCAGAGAAAAACAGGCCAAGCAATATGCACCAGTGCTTAATGTTTGTTGAACTAAAATGCTCTACTTGCATACTTCTTAGTCTTCAACAAGTTCTCTACCTCAAGAGGCTGAATAAATGGATTAACTACAGATACCAGCAGTTAAAGTTGGTTGTAGCACTCCAGATTCCTCTACATACAAAACTCTTAAATTGGAGAAAAGAAAACATGGCAACATGCCCTGTCCAGATTCTGGTCTTCCAATCTAAAAGAATGCAAATGACAGCCCTAGCCTCCTTCTCCTTCCACAAAGAAACTCCTAGCTCGTTTTGAGTTCTAGGATATTCAGATATGGATACCCCAAACCTACCAATTACTCTATTTCTCTCCTCAAGAAACGACCCTATATTTTATATTTTTTTCTTTAGATAATCAATCAATTATAAGTTACTCATGGTACTTAAAGTTAGGCATCTTTTTTTAGCCTTTAATTTGAATCATATAGATTTTTAGTATAAGGAGATCTCCTAATACAACACTCTTATTTCATGAAGGAGGAACTGGGGCCCAGAAAAGATAAGGGCTATCAACGACAGAGCTGAGCTAGAACCAAGTTCTCCTCTCCCAGGATGTTTTTCCACTATAATTTGCTGCTTTGTCTTGAGAAGGGACCTTGTTCTGAAAGTGCTGGGATATTATGGAATCAAAGGAGGACTGAACTGGAAGGGACCTAAGAGATTAATTTCCTTGACTATAAAATGAAGGAGCTGAAAATATATAACCTTTACAATACTTTCCAATTCTAAATCTATTAGTCCTATAATCCAGGATGCACTCATTTTATAGAGAAAATAAAAGCCAAGAGAAAGGAAGAAACTTTCCTGAGGCTGATTAGGAGCAGAACTAGAATGTGAACTTAGGTTTCCTAACTCCTTGATCTAGTTCTCTTTCTATTTCTACTGCAATGTGCCTGGTTTTCAAGGACTTCACATACTTAAGATTGTGATGTTTCAATCCTACTGCATAAGAAATTATGTACTAAGACAGCAATAGTGTTTTAACCATTTACTGCCTCAAGAGACATGACTAGCAAGCTATGAAACAAGAAACTCCTTCACACTGAAATAGTGTGTTGTATATGAGGAAAAGAACTAGACTGGGGGTCAAAGCATCTAGGTTCAAATCTTATATGCTTACAAGATTTAAATGGGTTCCTAACCTTGAGCAAATCACTTCACTTTTCTGGAC